TCCCCAGTACGACTCGTGAATGCAAAAGTAGTTTATGATATGGCACTCAGATCAAACTTGTTTCGAGCAGATGACGATTAACTCTGAAAACAATATGGGAAACAAATATCTATGTCTAGAGCATAATTTGCTTCTGGGCTCGAGAGCTATGACATGATCAGGTTCCAACCTTTTTTACAATGAATTAAGTTAAGATTTCTAATTTTCCAAAACGGAAAATTAACAAAAATGCAAATAATCAAACCTATCCGAGATCCAAAGAGCAGATGCAAGTTTTTTTTACCCCATTCACCTTGGTTTCAATCTCAACAGCTAATTCTTTTGACGGTTGGACAGAAATTTTCTCTCTGAGTCAAGTGGAATTCAAACCTTAGAAATTGTTCAGAACTTGAACTTATGAGAGATATAATGGAAATGTAGTAAAATAAATTATTTTTAGCAAAATGAATTTGTTTTTAGCCTTGAAACTTAGATATTTAAAACCTACGCTTTAAGATATTGATTAAATCCAGGCTGAAACGTTGAATGCAGATTTGACTTAGGACTTGTAAGCAATAACTAAATCAGTCAATTTTTCAGTTGCAAGCTTGGTTGCCAAGCCTTTGAACAGGAGTCAGGCTAAGGGTGACCTTGTTATGATATAAACGTTGCTGCTTTTAAACGTTGCTGCTTGTAAACGTTGCTGTAAATTATTTTGTTATCATGCGAACTAGATACTGGTCTCTAACACAACAAGGTCACCTTCAGCCTCACTCCAAATCAAAGGCTTGGGCTACTAAATACACAGCTGTGAAGTGGGCCATTAACCACCGTGATTTCCTCGAATAAGCGCCCGGGCGCTTATAATTCCGACTAAAATGAGGGTTGTTTCTTGGAAGGAGGGCGCGTAATCAAGGGGGCGCTTATCAAGTTTGCGCGGTAACGGGAGAAAAAAAATTGATGGAACAGATCACGCACATAAAGGAACTCTGCTAGTTCATGGAGTTAGAAGTAATTGGTGGCGACTTAACGAATAAGAAAGTATTCTGTACTGATTCCGCTGTAGTTAAAGCTTAAAAAAAGTTATAGATGAAGTGGCAATAGAAACAGGTTTTCCTTCCATACCGTCTATCTCAGTTGAGTAAGGGGGGGTAAGGGCCAGGTTCATTAGAGAGGGAAACTTGTTTGATATTTTGGCCTGGGGGTAGGTGCTTATTCGCGAGAGGACGCTTATCAGAGCGCGGGCGCTCATTCGAGGAAATACGGTTATCAATTGAAACATAAGTTAATAAATAAATAGTTGTTAAAAACTCACCATGTTACAAGTTATCATTTTGTTTTTCTTCCCTTTAATCATGTATTTTTAGATGTTTCCATTGTCTACTTGATGTTGTCCTAAAAAGAAAAATAAAAAGAAACTACACTTGTAAACACCTGCATTTTATTTCAAACAATAGAGATGTTTGGGTAGACAAATACCAAAACTCAGTCAGAGCCATCACATTGTATGATGACAATTTCAGTGTCCTTAATTGAAAGATAGCCACAATGATTTTTATCTTATTCAAAACAGGAGATCGCCAGGCTGACTTTGAATTTTGAAACTAGAAAAATTTGATGGGTATATTTAGGCTTAACCGTTGCTATGGTAATTTGATTTATAGCTATAAGGTTCCCGACTATGCTTGTATATTTTGTTATCTGTTTTACCATCAGCTATTACAGAGTAGCCGGTGTACAACCGTCCCCCCCCCCTACCCACCAAAAGAAAATCCCGACTTTCCTTTGGAGGGTAAGTGATGGTTGTACACAGCCTTTAACAGACCAGTAGTCAATGGTTTCACCGAAGTTATCATGTCGTGCACCAATGGAAGTCAACATAACCAGACACATGCATCGAAAACATCAGCGATTGAAAAGTAACTTTTTTCTTTTCGGTTGTTAAGTCCTGCAGTTTCCACTTTGGTTAACGTTGGTTTTGACTTTCAGACAATAGTTAAATCTGGGTTCACTGCAGACCAGAGAGTCAATTAGTTCTCTACAATCACTGAGGGCCTGATTACATGAGCCACGCTGACACGCTTGGCCAAGTTGGGTCAGTTTCTGCCGGGATCTCGGTACTTTTGTTCAACGCAACAATAATCAACTTCGTGACTAAATGGCAAGCGAGCCAGCCCGGCTTGCCCCGATCTCGCTATCGCAATACCGGGTGGAGAGAAGCATTGGGAGAGAAAAGTGTCTTTTCCAATAGCACAACACAATGACTTGGCATGGTGTTGAATTAAGCCAGACCTCTCACGACAAAGTCCAGCGCGAAAATCCAGTGTTGTTCAAGCTTCAGGATAAGCAGATGGTCCACCATCCCCGTTCACTCCATAAAAGAAGGTAAGGAAATCCCTAGTATCCAGATAAAAGACAGCAGGGGTGGATCTTGGGGAGTGGAATAGGTGGTGCGCACCCCTTCCCACACATCGTCCCTTCCCCCCACCCCCTCAATCTGGAAGATGACTAGCGGCTTTCTAATATACCTTCACGGTTATAAAAAAAATCTGTATCGTTTGCTGTGTATTCACAGCAGTTCACATTTTGTTACTGCCAAGTCATAAGCCTTATTTTTCTATGCTTCCTTTTAAAATTTTTTTTACGTTACCCGTCAGGTACGTCATTTCTTACTGGTGCATCTCCTCCTAAAAAAGTCCTGGATCCCCCCTTAAAGATCCTACATCACGACGTTTTGGCATAGAATCTTGCGCAGTCGTGGTAGAGAAATAACAAGAGCGCTCGAGATTAATGATGTGTGAAAATGACTGTATACAGTACATAGATGAAAAATGGAAGATGAAACATGATCATGATAATAAATTAAAACCTCTGGTATCCATTCAAAAGATCTTTCGTTAAAACTTTTGGCGCAGAATCTTACGCAGTCATCAACGCTAAAGACATTTGAAGCGCGCGCTCAAGACTAAAGGAAGGTTGAAATGTTTAAAGCTAAAATAACTGTATAAAGCTCATACATGGGTACAAAATTAAAGAAATAAACAATCAGGCTTTCAACACACTAACAATAAAATACGATTCTCTCGCTGTTGCCCTAAATGTCACGCGGTTCATTAAGAAGTGTCCTGAAAGATGCCCTTAAGAACTTGTCTGACACTGAACGGTACGTACATAGTTTATTACTCTTCACTTCAAATATAACTCTGTAATTTGGTCTTAAGGGCAAAAGCAACAGATAGGAATACCGTGTATTTCTATCAAATATGTATCTATACTAGGTTATTTACCTTGAGTAACCTTGAAACAAAAATCTGCGACGTCAAATTTAAACTACTGTAATCCCACATTCGAAGAAACACTTGCTAACATTGACAAAATGGACGATATCCAACCGAACATGGTTGAAATGTTGCGTTTCCTGGCCCTAAAAAAGCTGAAAAAGACGTTCAGGTTTCTCGTAGTTCTGCTCTTTCCACGTGCAAGACTAAACGCAAATGTGAATGCTAATTTTGAAAATTATTTGTAATTCAAATGAGTTTTCCCACTTTGTTAGCCGAGCCAAAAATGTTCGATAAACTCTTCCGTCACTTTTCTGCTCAATTTTATGTAGAAATTGGACCAGTAGCGATGTATATATGCACAAAATGGTCGACATCGTCAAGATACTGACTCGAACTTTAAATAAAACTTTCCAGGATGAACATTCATTGATCGTTTTTCATCCATGTGTGACCAAGTATTTCAGTTTGCCGGATTCTACCGCGCTTCAATCTCCATCCGTATCGATGTGCAACCTTCCGCACAAAAAGACAGCTTTATTTTATCACTTTCGACAAGATAAAGGTAGGTATTTGCTTTTTTTTTTTTTTTTTTTTTTTTTCGATCATATTATCATCCTTTAATTCTCCCTCGTAATTTAAATAAACTTGTGAAAAGAAGTTACTCCACCCTTCCGTTTCTTTACACCCTGTCAGTTTGAAAATTCTCCATACTGTTCTCCATACATGTCCTGAGGTGCTGACGAGGAGAATTTGTTTCCCAATCAAGGGCTTCTATAGTTGCTTATCATTTCCTTTTCCTCGTGTATGATTCAGGAGTAATGTTATAACGAAAAAGTAGATGCCAGTCACTCAGAGACTGAAATTGGCACCGGCCGCGGTTGGGCTTGCATTTCTCGACGCCGTTTTCACTGTAAATTTGAAAAAACCAAACTAGAAATTCACAAGGGAAATTAGCAGCCCTTTTGTTTCGGACCGTGACTGGATCAACACAATAACCAGAACCGCTGTCAGAAGCACCCGGAGGTTGTTGGACTTCCATACGGGGCTTATCGGAGAAGAGGGCTAAGTATAAACTAATTGAGAGCTATAAAACGATTGATTATTTTCTTCTCAAGAGTCGCCCGGCTTTAATGACTACTTTGTGTAAGGGAAGGGTCATTATTTATCGCCTGATTACCCCTCCCCTCCCAGTGCTCTTTCTAATAATCCGCCCTCTTTGGCTGTCAATCTTCCATAGTCCCTCCCTTATACTCTATTAGCGCCGACTGTTCAACTTAAAAAAAACATGTGATCCCCCACAGAATTTTCCGACCCCCTTCCGACTTAATGTCACATATCTTACGTACAAAGCGCAAAAAGGATGTCGGGAAGGAATGGGTGGGGGTACGAGAGAGTTCCTTGACTAACGAGACGTTCCGGGTAGTGGTCCAATAAAATAGGTATGACATTTAATTTTTCTTCTCTATGAGAGGTCATTTTTATTCAATCAAAAGGTTAGTTAAAATTACACTTCGTGATTCTTTAATTATTATATCATTTAATACATAAAAGTACGACTTTTCTACAATGATTGTTTACACTAAAACTGCAATCAGAAATAGCGATGAAACGGCATAATTGTTTTTTTGTTGATAATATAAATTTTGTTCTGTTGTCTCACGACGAACTCACTAGGTGTAGATCGCCCGAAAAAAACGCAATAGTTACGCAAGAGTTGCGTGACAATGTGACGAGGGACGTTATTCCTAACTAAGAACAAACAAACTTTAAGACTCAAGTTTAAATTATAAGCTAGGTATTTGTGACATACTTAGTGCAAGATGATATGCTGTCATCTCCTAGATTTTCGTCTTACTCTAACAAGACTTGGGTGGGTCTGAATAAGGCTTTGTAAGCCAGTTGCGCAAAACTCAAATCAAATCACTCTTCCCTCGACTTTTCTCTCTCTTCAAATACTGCTACTTAGTGGGAATCTTTCTAATTGAGGTAACATCATTAATACTGACACCCGCTACAAGTCTTCATTCCTTTTTAAAACCCTATTGTGGCTGTAAAATTTGTATACAGACTTCTGAACCATAAGGCCTTGATCTACCTCGAAGTTAAGTGGAGTAAAAGTATGAAAATATATAAAACATTTAACAAAACAATCCGCGCTACTTTGACGCAATACAGGATCTACCAATTTACGAATAGTGCAGCTTTTCCCTGCAAACTTCCAAGGCTTTTCTTTTAAAGTTAAATTTAGTTTTTCTTGCCTTTCAATTTGGCCAAGAAGGAGGTCTTGGGTGAATCTGCTGAAGATAGTAAAATACACAGACACAGACAAGTTTAGAATAACTGCCGCTAGTGCATGCGAAAAAATAAACGTATCAAGTACACCTTAATTTACAGGTCAGTTAAATAACAACACAACATTTAAGAGTGCAACATCATTCCATACCACTATTACGTTAAAGATCCTTTTTCTCCTTACTATCTGCCATAATTCTTTTATGATCAGAAAGGTATTGGATCACTAAAATCTAATTTATCCTTCTCATTCTCGTCACCCCTGCTTGATATTGTATTGATATTGTAAGGAAATCAAAACCCTTTGATCACAAATCAAGGTCATGAGAATATAGGAAGTGATCGCCAACTAAAGAAGCCCTTGATTGTTAAAGAAATTCTCCTTGTCAGAACCTTAGGAAATGTATAGAGAACAGTACAGAGAGTTAGAATGCAAAGGAGTTCACAACAGGTGCTGACAATTTGAAGGAGCGTGATGCAGACCATGAAGAGTAATTCAAAAACGTTCCTTAAATCTCTTGTTAAATGACTTTTACAAACCAACCATAACGCATTGGAGACAATACACAGAAGTTTAAAAGTAAAACAAGAATAGAAAAGGCGCAAAAACTACAACACAATTAATAACTATTAATAGAAATAAAATGACAGTTAACTCAAGAAAAAGTGTATTTTCCAGTTAGATATCAATACAAAGTAATTGTAATGATCATTACCTAAGCTTTACAAACAATCTTACATGATAAACAATTAGTTATAAGGGACGCCGAGTTTCACCCTCTTCCTAAGCTTATATAAAGAGACAAACAAGACTCTGATCATGATAGCATTTAAAATATTTTCCAGGTATAAAGAGATTGATATATTATCTCATAACGTAAACAAAGTCAGTGATGCCTTTTACTGAGGCGAAGTTTCTTTGTAAATCCATATTTAAATTAGAAAAAGTTTATAAAACTTATGAAATAAATTAAAGTACGATGAAAACTCAAACGCTTTTTAAACAGGGCCAAGTTCGTCGAAGAAGTATGGCACATGTATCCCCCTTCTTTTTTACTTCTCATCATCAAGTCAAAATGATATCTTAACCTTTAATCAATTGAATCTTTGAAAAATTCGGGTATCCGTGGTAAAACGATCGCTCAATAAAAAAATCCTCTTTATCCTTAACGTGTGTAACATAAATTTTGAGTGTCGAAAGTATAATCCCGAATTGCTTTGGCTCTGCTTCACAACGGTCTGGGATTGGTCAAGAAAACTAGCACTTAACCCCTCGACCAATCAGAGCTAAACTGAAACCAATCGCGGGTTGATCACTCGCGTTTTCCCGCGCTTTAAGCAGTTAGCTCATTTTCAATTTGACCTCTCATTGGCTCCTTATGGTATTCCCTCCGTTTACTTTGGCTTTAGTTTGGTGACACTCAATAGAAGACTTCTGTTTTTATGACGTTACTTTAAGACGGGAATTTTCTTGCCTAACAATCCACAGAAATGAATAGGGAACGAGGTGAATATATCTATATTTACTCCCGTTCTCAAAAACGTTGTAATTTGAGAGTAAAAATACAGATAGTTGCCTTTTGTTTTATCCTCGAAAAAAGTGTTGAAAGTCAATAAATCCTAAGGTAATTTTATAAGACGATTTAGGAATGGCTGATGTCAAATTTTTCACATTCTTTGTGTCAACTTGACACCAGTTTGCCGAGATGTTTGCATTGTTTACCCAAGACTTACATACATTTTTATAATAACTGTAGAAATTCTCGCGCGCTCATTGGTCGAGAATATTTGTCAACAAGGGTCTACACGATAAAAATGATGGATTATGTAACGTAACGCTCAGCAATCCTCACCGTAAAAAACAATTTCAAATTTCTGAGAAATGAACAGTAAAAACCTTTAAGATGGGTACACTTCGGGAAATTTTTGGAAGAAGAACTTGTCGAGGTGGAAAAAAAAGGCGGAAGAAAATCTTCAGAAATAGAAATCCGATTCGCGGTCTGCAAAGTTGAAAGACGGACAAATTCGTACCAATATTTGCCGACTCCGTTCAAATATAAGAACAGGCATCGAGTAATTTACGTTCAAATGTCGAAAGTAATCCGGGAGGGCTTCGGTTTTCGTATACTTCGGTGTGTGATTGGTCGAAAAAAAAACTCGTCCCATGTTATGAACCAATCAGACGTCCACGTTTTCCCGTGCTTTTGGTAGTTTGCCTGTTTTTTTTTCTTCGATTGCTCATTGGCTCATGATGAAAACCTTTCTTATGACAGCCCGTTGTGATCACTTTAGTCAACTACAAACCACTATAGATATCTATCAGGTATATTTTTGACTAGCAACATTTTTTAGAACGGGTCTTTATCATAAGATTGACTACCACAAAATATCATCACGAATAAAAAGGTAAAAACATCGCCTCCAATTTAGTGTCACTCAAACAAAGGAAAGCCTAAGGATTTTACATTCAACTAACAGACGAAGTTATTTCTAGCAAGGCGCAATATGGTAAAATGAACAAAGCTTCACAGCCATATATCATACCGAATAAAACGATAAGAGTTACCTCCTGCCGTTGCTGCACAAACATCGCAACAGCACCCTTGCATTCGATTAGACATTTAAGAAACTTGACGAACTCACAGTTAGTACTAAGTGCAGACATATACGTTAGGCAGGATAGTATGGAGAAGAGATACCACCCAATAATCACTTGGAACTCTGAAAGAAAGACCTTAGTGAACGTTTAGATTCTTCGTAGTGGTACAAATTTGCGGGCTGGTTTCCAGACACGGTACATTCTGACCATGTACTCAAAATGGCCGTTACGAATTAAGTTGATTTCAATTCCAGTGAGTTTGTCTGGGATCTGCTCCTAAATTGGTAATCCAATGTAAGGGCGCCGTATGACAGAATTAGAAATATCTGTAATATATTATTATCTGGTGCTTAAAGATATAGATATTATCTCTTTAACCTAACTACCACACAGATATAGAGACGACTCAGTAATAACGAAACTATATTTACACCAAATTAAGATAAACAGCACTAATTTCACCAAACATGGGCTGTAGAAAACTAATAGAGAATTTTTTTTTCCTTTGTTTAAAAACTTATCGTTCATGATAGGGAACTCACTCTTGAAATTCTTTAGAAATACCAAAGTCATGTTACGTTGTAAAAAATATACAAGAACCATATAATTATGAACTATTCTAAACCTCCTAAGAATTTCAAAGACAAGGTGTCAGGTTTGAATGACGTCCTAGAACAGAAATAACAGTTTTAGAATATTAACTTACTGGTTAAAAGAAGCATTACCCATAAAAAGATGAAAGTTAAAAAAATTTAGTGCAGTGTTGAGTATGTTTTAATTAATATTTTAAAAACTTTTTAAGCAATTGGTGCAGTTATGAAATACTACAACAGATAAATTTGTGTTAACTTTTCTCCATATCCTCCCATTTAACATCTGGAATCACTCCTTTCAGGGAACACCGGATGAACTTCTCCATCTTTTTCCGAGCGGTTTTCTCTTCGAGCAAACTCTGGCGAAGGGACTCAGTTTCCTGCGAATGGAAAAAAAAAAGACTAAATGTTGACAAATTCGAGCAAGTTTTCAAAAGTGTTTAGCTCCACTTTTCTCTCCGATTGGTCAACAAATTTCGTGGCACCCTCGAAACCAATTACATGTAAAACTGGACCCAATCACAAAACTTTCCTCTTTGTGCTTTGAGTTCTGACTAGCTCCTAACGATATTTTCCTTTATTCTGATTGGAAACCTACTGCATGAAAATTTGATCCAATCACAAATGTTTCCTATTTATCCTTTGAGTTCTGATTGATTTTGTTTTGGTTAACCGAAACAAAATCTAATTGCTTTTTGTTGTATGCTTGAAACAGTTTGTGATTAGACTAAAAATAATACTGCTGGAAAATTTTGACATTTCTGAACACTATTTGAGAAATCTTGTTAACACACACACGAAAAAAAGATAATGGACTTTCATAGATACCTCATTTTCAATGACTATTTGTGGTGTAAGGCGAAGTAGTATAGTTTCGTGTATAATGCACTTACGGTATAAGAATAAACTGTATTGTGATGATGGTCCAGCAATAGTATTTGACAAAAACTGTCCACTGATTTCCAGTGCTCACTTACGTTTTTTTCATTTCTTTAAAGACGGAAGTTTTCTTGTGTACGTGGTTCTAAATTAGTGGGTTATTTCTTAAAAGATTATCAATGTAGTGATATCAACTTACGAGCTGAAGTTCTTCCACTCTTCTTCTAAGACAGTTAAATTCACCAGCGACATCCCTGTAAACGACAAAACGCAATGAATAAAAGTTAAGGGGGGGGGGTTGGGTCAACTTAAGTCTTAAGGGTTGCTTCTCCTAGTAAGAGACAGGCACGCGGGAACCCAGCGTCTTCAACAGCAAATTAGTAGGAAAAACATTTTTGGGAAGAAAAAAAGACACGAACGTTCCATGAAGTTACAAGTAAACAACGTCTTTCAACATGGCTACAAGTTACTTCTTAAAATAATCACAAAGCTTACCTATTAAACTTTTTCTTTGATTTTCTTGATTTCTGCCCATCTTCTTTTAAACTGAATGTTGAAGGCGGTCGATGAGCGGGAAGTTCTGGAAGGATTGGACTACCTAGGAAATGAACGGTGGAACACCTATACTCATGCATTGTTGTTGGTCATGCTGACGGCGAGCAATTTTGAAGGTTAGACTTATACGTTATAATAATAGGGCAACAATTGATTTACAATCAAAAAGGTTATATTCTAGTCATTCTTTTATGTTTCTCAGTCCATTTCTCCTTTGATTTGAAATTGAATTTCTTTTATTCATTATCTATTGATGTTAATGTCGGGTCAAGGTTTCAAACATACACTCTATACAAACATTAACACACTTAGAGGATTGCACTGGTATTTCCTTTTCAAAACCTCAAGTCAGAGTTATTAAAATAACCAAATACATATTTTAACTGAGTGTAGTAAAGCTTTATATAGCTATAGCTCAAATCAGAAATGATTACAAGAGTTAAGGAGTAGTTATTGCTTCATTTATCCGATGCTAAAATTGAATATTCAATAGTATTAGTTCTTGACACACAAGAATTCTGTAATTAGGATGCAAAATACGTAAAATTTAAATTTAGTAAAAATTCTTATTTTTTATGAAAGCAACAGAGACGTTTGATGTTACCAGCTCATTTAAAGGAAAGGAATGATCTTTTAGAATTGACGGTTACAATTTACCACTTATTGCTAACACATCATACATACCAAATTAACACATTCACGCTACTGAGAGATTAAGCTTGGTTTTACCGAGAAAACATGTCAAACAACAAATGTTGTGAACTTAGTGTAGGGTGCGCAGAACTCCGTAAATTTAGCTGTGACCCTGTCGAACTGATGAGTTAATCTATTCCCCTATACTGTTTGCTGGATGATGTAAAATGCTAATGAAGAAGACACAAGTTCATTATTCCTGAGGGTTAAACGGTTATGATGTAATAAGGTGTAAATGATTTTTCATACAACACCAAAAATCTTTCCTAACATAGGAGTTGCAAGAAAAAATCTGAAAAAAAAATTTGCGAATTCATCTGAATCAAAAAAATCGTAAATGTGAGTGCACTTACAAAAATAACTCTTCAAGTCGTGAGAGGCTTTAAGTAAGCTTCAAACTCTAAACTCCACAACATGTACATAAAGTGCTTTTCGATCGAGTGTCGTATAACCCAAACCAAACCAATCACATCGGCCAACCAGAAGCAAGGAAATACCTTTGAGTCAATGACAAATCAAAGTAGAAACAACTCAACTAAAGCGCGGCAAAACGCGGGCGACCAAATCGTGACTGGTTTAAGTTTCGCATCTGATTGGTTGAGAAAGAAGCGCGAGTTTTCTCGACCAATCACACATCGAAGTAAAGCAAACCCCAATGCAATCTTAGATCACCTTCGACACTCAATTAAAAAAATTGTTCTATATTCATATGAAAAGTTCCTTGTGTAGAAAATTAACTGAACAGTACCTACTCAAAGCTCACTAAAATATCACATGAATGATCTCGATTGCACGTAAGAGCCAGCAACCTGCGAATTTTTCTGGTAACACTGGTAACACATAACAAAATATCCATTTGAAGTTGTTTGCAAATTTATTGTAACTGAGAATACTATTTTCTTTTATATGACGCCTCATTCTTTGTAATAAGTACATAGTGCTGGAATTTTTTTTCTGGATGTCTTTCTGAAAATCAAACAAACAGCTTTAACATTGCACTTCATATTCCGATTAACAGGTCTAATAAATTACTGTTCAATAAATAAAATCACATCAAATAACTGACCGGTAAGGATAACTATTTTAACAAACTAACAAATATCAACATCTTGATCACTAAATTTATATTTTGCTTATCAATCAAAACTGAACGAATCGCTTTTTTGCAGGAGCCCATTCTCCACGCACAACATTTTGAACTAAATGTGCGCATATAACTCTGTCAACCTGCAACTCCTTCTACCGTTAGTTACACAAAATAACCACTGTGGTATGGTGACCTTCATCGTAAAAAATTAAACCAGCAACATAAGTGTCTAGCTATATTCACTTTGGTTTTCAAATCCATTGCCTATCAAATACTCAAGACAAAAATTCACCGACTGAAAGAACAAAAATTCTTGTGTATCACTGTAATAGTAGTAATATAGTATTCCTCTTGTTGAATCTATTCTATCAAGATATATCTATATATATAGCAAGTTTAAGAAACATTGACATGTGTAGATGAAAATAACCATAAGAATATCAAGCAAACGTTCAAGAAAGTCAAATCAATCATGAAAGGGTATGCTACTTGTATGGAGAGCAGTTTGACAGTCTAAAAAAATTAACTTTAATGAACAAACATCAGTTACTTCAACATGTATGAATTTCCTTGCCTCCATTGTGTTTCTCCCTCTTGATTCTCATTTAAAATATATTCATTAGGGGATGTAATAAATATGACGTAATAATAATTACAAAAACGAAACATACTTGGTATTTCCCTACTCACACTTTCAGTTTCGTTATACCAAAGATCAGCTTTCAGAACACATTAAAAAGTAAAGAATTGTTTCTAAAAATCATGATACAATCCTATAATAATAATTACTATATTTAACACTGCAATTTTATACAATCATCTTTTGTAATTGATGAGAAGAAAATTTGAAACTGTGACATTCTTTTAGATTGAAAACAATAATTTTCTACATCTTGTTCCTGTTCCAATCTTAAACGTTTGTGCATTTTTTCAGCCCTTTGTTTCACAAAACCTCATTTTGTTTCTCAAGTTTCCAAGATGAAACAAAACAATAAGATAATTTTCTAAAATTGATAGAATTGTAAAACAAATTGAGCATTCAACCAGAAGAGAAATTTGAGAAGTAAAATTTAGAAAGTTTGAAATCTGAGATACATTTGCATAAGAAAACCTTCAACTTAATACTGTGCTGAAAATTTTGCACAGGTTCTTATGACTCACACAGATTCACTACCGCCATTACCAAATGAAGCCGCTACAAGGTTCTGCCAAGCTGATCTGCCTTTCAATTAGTAGTTTTTACGTCATCACAGAAATTATAGTTGGTTGGCAATTATTATAAAGTGTATACCCAAAATGCCATCATTGGAAAAGACCCTCAGTCTCGTTATGCCTCATGAATTAACTTTGCAGTTTCGGCATTTTGTGAGGTAAAAAGCAAAATCAATCGTAACCTGAGTTCACAAAAAAGAAATTATTCCAGAACAAAATTAAGACATTACTTAACTCCACAGTGCAAAAATTTGCTTCAGTAAGAATAATTAGCCCAGAGAATAAAGCCAATGATGAAACAAAATCAGAAGGCTTAAATAAAGAAAAAAAATAGATTGACTTTCACAGATTTCAAAGGTAATACAATAACATTAACTCAAACATACACTTTTAAATTGGTCAAAGATACATCACATTTTAGTATATAACTAACATATAGCTTAGAAAAAGCTACATTTAAGGTACTAAAGCTAAATGCTATAAGAATATTGTTGGATTTCCGTTACGCATACATATTCTAAAAAACTATTTAGACAACGTAAGAATTATTTCAAGGACTTTTTCTGTTAAGCGAATTATTAATAATTTAGTGTTGATAATAGAGGTAGCGACATACTGGGCAACAAGCAACAGGTCTCTGAAACAAGCCGCTCTATGTGTATTGCTTTCACAACCAGTGGCTGTAACGTGCTATGGGAACAAATTGCAGTCACAGTTCGCCTCATGTAAAATGGGGGATTTTCACGAAAATTCCTGTCTCTGAATCAAAGTTTTGTCACTGAAATCAGTTACACAAATTCAAACCAAGTTTAATTCATGCAATTGATCACAATGAAAAAGTTCAGTCAAAGCCCTGAAGTTTCTTTTACAAAAATTCATACGAGACACAATGTTAATGTAATCTGTCCCCATGACATGTTGCAAGAACTTGATGTGGAGCCATTTTGCTGTGGAGATGTAGTGGCGTGGCTGGGTCCAATTGGTCCCAACATTGATTAGCACACAACTACAAACTTGAAAAAGAGATTCCTTAAAATCATATATATCCTGTTGCAGCGATTTGTCGCCTAGTGTGTCTCAGCCTTTCACCCTTTAAGAGGGCTCTGGACTAAAAAGTATATAGTCTACTCTTGCTTGCAAGTCCTGCGCAGCATCCATGGGCCAAGATCTTGGCACCTCTTGGCCGACTTGAAGCATTATTTTCATCATGATCTTCTTCAGAAGAGTCATAAGGAACGCCTCCAGCAAGTTCATTTGGTTTGGGCTTATTTGCATCCTCTGCTAAGGTACACATAATGAAGGTATAACAAGACTTAGATCGTGAAATTTTCTGAGTTGAAATAAAAGCTGTTTAAAAGCTACATAGGATCTTTGGCTATCTGAAACAGCAGGTTCATTCCAAAAAAAAAAACAACAACAACAAAGTCGCTATGAAAGGGATATACTGGTTCAAGCTTTCATTTGATGGCCACGTGCTTGATTATGAATGTTAAAATTAGCAAACACTTATGTAACTAAGACCCTGACGAACTGATCATATTAATAGCTGTTCATTACACAAGTAATTGCATATCAGTAGCACGATGATTTCTTAGAGGATAAAAACATTGACATTCGGAAAGAATCACACTGTTAAAAGCTTTAGGAACTAACCAGATTAATGGTTTTTAATCACACAAACGAACATATTACAAACACAATGAATTCTGAAAAGAGATGTACACATGAGGACTACATAATTAGTATGAAGTGAACTTCATTAAATAAAGCACATAAAACAGCTGTCATTATTATTATTATTATTATCATTATTATTATTATTATTATTATTTAGTGCATATATTTTAATCTTGTTAGGTGTAATCTTAAGCGATGACAATTAGAATGATTGTTGTTACGTGGTCAAGAATATAAATAAGATGCACTGTGTTTCAAATTGTACTAAATCACTTTCCAAAATTTAGCATTTGTTATACCTTCATTACATGCCCTACGATGCACAAGAGCCACAAAAAAAGCACATTGAAAGTATTATTTACGCGAGAAAATTTTCAGTTTCTTTCACTTTTATTTTTAAGACAAATGTCAAATCATTGATCTAAGTAATCACAGTTTTAACCATGCATCTAGAAGTTACAGGTAGTAAAGTCTGCCTTTGTGCCAGAAAAAACCAATGGCAAGTTTCACAAAGGATCGAACCGTATTCCAAGCAGTAATATATAATTAAGAGAATGTGCATATGTAAACGTGATGTAACGTGAATTCCAACAACAGTGGACATAAGTTGATGTGCAAAGGTCTTTTAATGAAACAACACACTTTCAATACACTTGTGTATATGTTTGAGAAACTAGAGTGGTACAACACAAAATTATTTCATGTTATTAACTCTGCACTAGATTACAGGAGAAAAATAAAGTAATGTTAAAGCTGTGGCATAAACGTAACACATCTGCTTCTTATACTGAATCAGTATGAAGAAAATGCGTGCCATACACTATCATAGAAAAGTGTTAGGGTAACAGAAATCGCAAGGCTATAGAAAGCAATAAAAGCTGAATCATTTTGCGTTGAACACTTGGAAGCTGTCGCTTCACAATCAATATTAGATGAGGCCAATCTTAATACTCTTTGATTCATGCATCCATGCTGACGAAATCGAGAGCCAAATCCAACTAAAACTTTAACAGGCATTGGCAAAAGCAACCATCTATACTCTCTCATGTTTTTACGGCAGACAATTCCAGACAAATTTCAGTGGTTAAGCTAGACAGTGCATTTGCACTAACCACCCGAAAAAACTTAAATTACCAAATGAAATAAGAAATATGTGATGCTTTGTTTAGAAGACAATGTTCGCTTATTTATAACAGTCCACAACTAAGGGAAAACATATGGGACCTATCAGTTCTTCCCACTGAAATGTCCCTTCAAACCCTCCTTGGCTAGAGGTTTAGAAAGTAAAGTTTTCCCCCAAACAGGTTCAAAACGACTAGTGCTGCATCTGACATGCAAAAGAATCTTTCTTCTATGCTTGACAGGAAACTCTTTTTACCTAATGAAGTCACTCAGTTTGAAGATTTGGCAGATACCCTTCATATGCTTACGGGTAGTTCTCTACTGTCTGCCCATTTATTGATGACAGCACGAAGACCATCATTACCTTTAAGCGAAACATTGATCACAATCCCCTTCCGAAACAACGCGCAGTAATTCAATTATTTGGTGTAATATCAATGCCAACGTTTTGAAGGCATGGCATTTAAGAAGTAAAAACAGGTTTGACCTGTCTGTTAACTTGATCCTGATACTGAAAATTAGCCAATGAAAACGAGTCTACTTAAGATCTAAATGTGCATTATGATGTACAGTACACACTTGTGAAATGACAAGGTTGCCAGAAGCTAATATTAGTTTTCTACAATTAAATATTGATGCAGGAATTTCCAACAAAACAAATTGAGTTCATGTTAGATCATGAGTAATTTTAACTGCTTAATAGATGTGTGACAGAGAAGCCAAAGGCAGATGATGGAACATATTTCAAAGATTTTCAAGATACAAAACAGTCCTTCCTTACAGATCAAAGAATTATCTGAACAGTCAAAGAACCTGGAAAAGCTTAGTACTCCACACTCATGTTTGATTCCTTGGAAAATCGCTGAACTCAAAATGCTTTGTCCTAACACTGAGAAAATATAGATAAACACTAAAGTCTACTCAAAATGTAAAACTGGACATGTAACTTGTGAGGTGATAAATGTCAAGTTATGACGATAACATGCAAAACTTACTGTTTAGAGTATGCCGTGCTCTTGCACTTGTACAGTAAGACTCCACAACTCGGAGAATAAGCATGTCTTCCTCTAGTACACGGCTATTTCCTGAGGAGAAAACACATGATCGATAAACTCAGCTTTTTTTAAAATCAATAATTCCATATCACTTGTTGGCATAAATAGTATCCATTAATTGCCTGAGCATTAAAAAATATTTCTTTACTTTAATAGGGATGATATTATCAAACCAATTAAAAATGCAACCCTAAATTTTGTTTGACAACAGCTTATTTGCTCCCTTGTTCTTTAGATACAGGTAGCAACCATGAAACGTCTTGTGATTCAAATTACAAGCACATACAAAATTCCATTCAAAATTGGCTGATATCTTTTTCTAATAATTTTTCTCACCCTTGATGCCCTCTGCCTGTTTATGACTTGATTTCTAGTTTTAATTTAAATAATTGGTCTAAAAAATTAGAGATTTCGCTTAATCTTGTGGTCTGATTTTTCTGCTGAGAGGAACCCTGAAAAGGACTGTTGTCAGGAGCTGACTGTTGTCAGGAGCTGACTGTTATCAGGAGCTGACTGTTATCAGGAGCTGACTGTTGTCAGGAGCTGACTAATTTATGCCAACTTGAGCTGAAGTCTACATCAGTAGTAACTTCCCTTAGATTTCGTTAAAACATCACTCACAGCTCCTGACAACAACTCATTTTCTGGATTACTCGCACCCACATGATCACACTACACAATCAACTATTAGCCCTGACCTCAGATCATTTATTTGTGAAGATCTTCTTATGCTACCTACCATTACAGTAATATCCTTATGATAATGGTAACACGACAGTCATGTAAACTCAAATAAATGAGCAGTGTAACTAACTTCAAACAGATTAAGGCTTACCTGAGGTACTGTTGGTTCTTTCATCATCAAGTTCACTCTTTGACCGGCCTTTAAAGGTAAAAGAAAAACGGTAACTACAAAATTGCAGTATAATAAAATTTAATTATGTCAGTTGGATATGCATGACAACAGATTAAACACTGCTTGTACCATTACTCAATTCTACATTGTTTCAGCATCAGTTTATCTCATTTTCAGTTACAATCAGTACTGTTTAGAAGACACAACTTATTTTGTTTTTTTAATAGAACATTAGCAAAATTGAATTAAAGCTTGCGCACCAACTTTGCACAATATCAAACAATTCTTTAATAGGTGATTTGAAACACAATTGATGGCAACAGAGTATAATTATAAAGTAACTGAATTTCCACAGTCAAATTTTAAAGACCCAGTAACACAACTGCATTCGTTAACTGAGGAGGATTCCTAAACTCTACCCAAAGAGCAAACACAAAGGCAAAGTTCCTTTTCCCACTCAGAGAAACCCTGAGGGTGAAACACTTTCTCAGGAACAACTGTTCCAACTTTTTCATAATTTTATTTGCTCCTGTAACCTTAATGTGTGATTCAGGGGTGATATTGTGTGGAGAAATTACATGCTAATCACTCTTAGCATCAAAGGGTTACCAAAAAAGCCACCTCTCAAATCTAATTTAAAGACCCATTGACACCCTGAATAAATTATTTGAATTTTTTTTGTGGCTATGCTGAACATCTTTGCATGAAATATTGTCACTGAGGAGAAAAGGGTTAATAGAAAACTGAAGTTGACAACTGGAACAAAAAAAGTAAAAAAAAGGATGAGCTCTCTTTTAATCGTATTTTCATTTATTTTGCAAGGAGGTTTTGAAGCTACTAATTTGAGATACATACAAGTTAAGAGCATCCGATAGTATTAAAAGGCTGGAAGCATTAAAACTTTAATTAAGCAGGGACAATTTGAGAAATTTATTTTTAGCAAAAAGTTACTTACAGTCCGAAGTGCAAGATTTGAAAGATGTAAGAGGATTAAGCGTAAGACAACCTACAAGAGAAGTTATTCATCACCTTTGAAACTTGGCCTTGAGATGGAAACTGGTTGAAGGGGAGGAGATAGGTTTCTGATGTTAGTTCAGAAGTTTAATAAGTTTGTATACTTCACAAAATAAATCCATAAATTTAAAAGTTGAAGATGATTAATTTCAGGTGTGGTTATTTAGTAAAAGATGATGTTCTTCATTAAATGACACAGACATACTCACAACAGAGGAAAAGAACTGCTGCAAGTGCTCCTAACGCTAAGAGGTTGTAGGTTTGACTCTCATAGGGAACACTAGGAGTTCTTTTTCTCCAAGTACGCCTGTGTTGTTCACAAAATAACATAACCTTTCAAATTAAAAAAAAAATTCAAATTTTCTGACTTTTAAGTATTTTACATGTTATGTTTTCATTTGATCAACATCAGTTTGATTTATGGGGTTGAAACTTGCACAGTAAGTGTCTCTTTTCTGATTAAAAACAAGCCTCCTATATTAACTTTGATTATAAATCTTCACTGTCTGTGAAACATGCATTTCTAGGGATGAAAACCAACTATATCAGGGATGTTAAGCACACCCTATGACTGAGTTTTAAGGAGACTGTTAGTGTGAGTTATGTTTCAACCCCTAAAAATACTTTCATAAAATTTTAATATCGTTATTAATAAACTGTGGCAGTTGATCTACAATTTCATTCATTATGAGAATCAAATACATTTCTGCTGTTAATGTAATCCAAGCTCGTTTATCATAGAGTGATTGCTGCCCACTAAATAGTAATAATACTCCTTCAAGCTCCAGTAATTTGGCACCCCTACAACTACATAAAAGACGTGGTGGAGCGATTTCTACTATGGGTGCAAATGGATTCAAATGGTAAAGCATATGGTTTGCCTTGGTTTACAAGATGTTAATCTTTTGCCTTAGATTAATTAAACCGTTCTTTAAAATGGAATTTAAAGGATATAAATGTTATTTTAACCCTTTAACTCCCTTAAGTGACCAAGACAGAATTTCTTCTTACTATATTAATAAAATATCAACCAGATAAATGATGAGAATAAAGAAAAATATCAATTTTGGGGATAATTAGTTGATCCAATACTAAATTCTCTGAACTATCATTAAAAGATTTGTATGGTTAACAGTGAGGAGAATTACAAATTTCATCTGGGAGTTAAAGGGTTAAATACAGCTAGAAGACTTGTGGGCTAGGTTGTTCAAAGCTGGGTTAATTTAAATGTGAAATCTGATTTCCAATTTGATGGCTTTGAAAGAAAATTGAGTACAATTCTCTTTGTCTACAATTTGATAATTGGAAGCTCTAAAAGTAAAAGAGAAAATTATCTGTAAAAGGCTTTTGAACAAAGGAGTAGAGAAACCGAGATAAAAATTTAACCCTAGATTGGCACACATCCACATTTGAACAACTGGGCAGTGAAGTTGAAAGTAGATAACCAGTCATGATGCAAGTGTCTGAGGTGAGCTGAACATTCTATCCAATTCTCTGACTTACCCTGTTTCTTTCTTGATGGATAAAGCAGGCCCCTCATAGATCGATGTGTTGTAGATGTATCCTTAAAAAAAAAAAATTAGAATTTACTTCCTAACAAGTTGTTCACAAATTCCTGTACAAGAAAGAAAGAAATTTGCCTTTTAGGCTCAATTGGTAATGGCCCCCAACTGGTATCTGCAAGGCACAAGTTAAAATAATGGTGAAGCCTGAAAAGGTTGATGTAACAATTACTGACTTTTTACTAAGTTATAACATTTTTTGTTTCAGTATATTACCTCCTTAGCGATCAGTGCATATGCTGGTCTCAGGGGTGGAGTGGGTCTAAGCCTGGTGAAATCCCAGCGTCCTTTTCTGTTTGGACTGTGAGGGGCTGAGCTGAATGCAGTCAAGTCAGTAGCTACCGAATGTGACGTTGATACAGAACGGAACTTGGAACCATCACTAGAAGACTTCATATAAATAAGCACAAAAAATAAGCATTATAGACAGTGTTGAGATGAAGAAAGCTGAACATTACCTAAAGTTTTTACTTTTAAGGAACTACACTTCAGGACATATCATTGCTGTAATATCATTCATAGAGTTGAAAAAAGGTTTCTCAGAGGTCAGAGAGCTATTTAAAGGTAGTTTTTCCTTCTTTTCAGTGGCCAAACAGAACACATGATTTACTTTATCTTTCAAAAACTTCCATATTATAAACTGAGCTTGAATCAAAACAATGTTAACTCCCATTTGGAAAACAGATCTGTTTCTTAATCAACTGAAAAGGGTTTAATTCAGTATATTTCAAAAAATTGGAATTATGCTAAGTCTGTAGATACTGAAGCTGAACACCAAGTCTACTGTTCAGCATTAAGCATTCTCCTTTGCAGACAGTAACTGGTAAAATTCACTCTCTGTAGTACCACTTGGTACCATCTAAAATTGCTTGGAATTCTTGAAAATTCAAAAGGTAAAAGGATTGCTCTACAGGTTTGCACATTTCCTTTACATATTGTGCTTAAAATAAGGTAGAACACTTAAAAAAAGCAACATAAATTGTAATAGACTGAAAAATGCAGGAAAAGGAAATTCAGAGTCTCAACCAAAATCTCTCTGAAGGACCTACACCTCCATTGGAGAAGGAGGCCCTCCCACCTTCAAAACTACCTATGAGCTATTCTTCAATACCCATTTGAACCAAATTTTCTTGAAACTTCTGCAGGGATCATTAATTGTTACCTGTGAGTGTACACCAGAGGTGCTAATAGAACCCTTGGGTGTGGCTGAATTTGGTGGTGATCCAATAGAGTCACTTCGAGGAGGGCTCGACTTTGAATAAGTCCTTTCTGACAGTGACCCTGGATTTCTCTCCACCCATGGGGATGGTGAAGTCACACTGCCTTTCTCTGAGTGTTGCCGAATCCTTGAACTTTGCCCTGGCGGTTGAAATGCATCCAGCCAGGCATTCTTCTCATGAGGATGGTTTGTAGAAAGCTTCATGACATCTCCATTGACTATAAGGTCAACAACAAAGGTGTGTCAATACTATTACCTCTCATAATTTTTAGCTCTGTGATGGAGGCCACTTCAATGGGTTTTCTATACTCCCTTACTCATTTGTAAAATTCATCAGATAATTTCAGAATTTTACCACCAATTAAATACAAAATGTCACACACACACACACAGGCAGCATTCAGTCTTCCTTTAAAGCTGTGTTTTCCACCAACTAAAATAAATTTAATTGTGGTCTCAACACCATTATCCTGACAGAAGAATGGTTGAATAAGAGCCCTATAAATTCAATTTGTGGCAGCAATGACTGCACTAAGCAGCCCAAGAGCTTTATTACTCTGATATCACAAAGAACAACCCAAACCAAACAAAGTCTGGTGTACAAAAATCAGTGAAATCAGTGATGGATGCCATGGCCACAACAATATAATTTCAAGATTCTGGTCTAAGAGACTAATCTATTCAGTTTAATTCTATCTCAGAGATTACACTTGCCTTTTATCTCAAAAGCATTCAGAATGCCTTCTTAAATATCACAGAGAACAACCCAAAACAAACAAACTCTGGTGTCCAAAAATCAGTGGTGGATGCCATAGCTACAACAATATAACTTCAAGATTCTGGTCTAAGAGACTAATCTATTCAGTTTAATTCTACCTCAGAGATTACACTTGCCTTTTATCTCAAAAGCATTCAGAATGCCTTCTGAATCTTCTAGTGAACGTATGGTTAGGTCTGATAGGCCATACTTTTTCTGAAAAAAAAAAAAATTATTTTTAGTTAGTGCAATATTAACTTTTGATCCCTAAGAGTACCAAGCATCTAATTTCTCCTTACAATATCACCCCTAAATTCCACATTAAGGTCACAAGAATAAAGGATATGATAATCAGTTAAACAAGGTCTGGTTGTTAAAGAAATTCTCGTTGTCAGCACCTAAGGAAATGTATGGACAGCCGTATGGACTCTGTATGGAGAATATGCATGCTGATGATAGGGTGTGAAAGGTTAATAAAGGAAAAGATAACAGGTGATAAGGATTAAGATACATCAATCAAACTGATTAGGTGCTATGATTAAAAATAAATGTGCTGCTAAAAAATTTGACATCAAAAGAAATTAAAGGGATTAGTAACGAGAACTATCACTATTCTGCTTGAGAATAACACAAGCACAAAGGCAAGTGAATAAAAATTAGCTTTTTCCTACAACGAGGAAAAAAAAAACTCACCTCAAATTTATAGCCACATGCATTGGCATTTACTGATAGGATAATCATACAGTTTGGGAACAGCAGAAAGGATCTCTCTCTAACCTCCTGTGTAACACATCAATGAGCAAAATATGTGAGGTCCTGTTGTTGATATTGCAAGGTTAATATTGATAAGTGAATTTATCATCCCAAACAACATGCTGAAAGGTAAGGTCTCAAAGAAAACACTGGAAAAGCTATCTCATATCAAGTAACCCTAAGCGATCTTTTTAACATAACAAGCATTTCTCGGCTGTCACTAATGCTTGCAACCAGCAGATACCCAAGGTTTACTCATTGTAATAAAAACATAATGAATTACTTACTCAGCCTGATATTTTGTAATAAACCTTTTTTCGTAAGAGTTTTCATGAAATATCCCCAAAACATAATTAAAAGTGGAAGCTACATTATTTTTAATTCAATATGCTTGAAATTGAAAACCACCGTTATTGAGAAGACAGGAAATTGGTGACAAAGAATGAATAAATTGTTGACTTCAACATGTATTGAAACAATATGGAGGAATGCTACAAATGCAGGCACCTTCAGAAGAGATGTTAAAAGGTTAGATGTATAGGTCTACTATGTAAACTTGCGGACAGGTCTGGCACATATGGCAAATGGATTTATATCCTGTAGATGATTGTCTTTCAAGTGAACTACCCTCATTAGATTACATATACACCTTTAACATGTAACATTCAAATTCAAAATGAGTGTAAATTTTCAATATTGTTTAAGCTTGAATTTTATTATCAATTTATAGTGACCAGAGTGTTCTAAAATGTGACTATGGGCTACTCAGAATGAAAATAACATCTTAAAAAAAGGAAAAAAAATTGAAATGACTTGTAAATACATGACAACAAGAATAGAAAGAGCCCATTTAAAAATAGTAGTGCTATAACTGAGGGAATTAGTTAAATTAATATATACATTTGCATGAAGCTAAAGTATAACTTCTTTGGTGAGGACAAACCACACACTAATATGACAGTCCTCTAAATTCTTATCATCTGGCAATTCCTTAACCAGACAATTCTGTTGCCCAGTAACACTAAAACAATAATATAAATTGTGTTGTATATGATCCAAATGTCATCCAGGTTAGGAAATAATTAGACTTCCATTAATCATCCTTTGGGCTTTCAGATGAACTTGCAGTATAACAGAAACTTTAATTTATTGTTCCTTACCCCATTTTCTCCATGTATCAAAAACTGTGACATCAAAATGAGGTCGCCCTGTTTGCTTATGTCCTGAAAAACATTTATGTTAATTAATAAAATGTTAATTAGTTAATATCATGGTTTTATCAAGATAATTTTGATGTGGGTTCCAATCGGTTTAACCAGGCATGGAGTAAGTACATAACTTAGACAATGAATTAACACTGCTGTATTAAATCCATCAAACAGCACAGTTTTAATAATCAGGTAATAAAATTCTCTTGTGAAATAAGTAAATGAATGATTTCTTTATTGAGTAACAGAGCAGTTGTATGGCAGTGAGGAACGAGTATGAATTTGTTTACAATCTGAGCATTTTGGAATCATAAAAAGTACTCTGAAAGTAATTATGCTTAGAAGACTAATAAAACTGCAGAAAATTTGAAGAGAAATGTTAACCTCTCTTCAATACTGAGGAACTCTGACATGCATGGTATGTATGTCCCTTGTTATTAAACATTTCAGTTTCACTGGAGCTCCAGAATAAAACTCAAAATTAAAGCCTTACAGTTAAAGTTATGATACCTAATCAACAAAAGTTATGACAGATCTTGGTCAAAAGGGTTCACAAGACACACTTACACATGCACAGAGTTTGAACTTATTTTATACATGTATTGAACATGAATAAGATAGAATGGAAGGTTTGGTGGTATAAACATGAACATCAAGAAAAACCATACCTCACACAAATTAAGTTAAATTGATATATTACATTACATACAAGAGCAATTTTCTCATTGATGTAAATGAATGTTTGTCAAACAGGGAGATAAAATATCTCTATTTTATCTTGAGTTTTCTCCTCAATATCACTTTACCTCTTCTTCCCATCCCTCTATAGTTCCTGTAAGCATTTCTAACTCTGTTTCTTTTCGTTTTCTAGTTTCATGGCAGCTTGTCTGAAATGGAAGGAAATTGCCTGTGTTTACACCACAGCCGCAAGGCAAAAGTCGCATTATCAACATCATCAACTGTTGAGTGTCTTGTGACACTAGACACTTCAACCCCAAACAAACTTTAGTGCTGCAAATTCACAAGTATTCTGTAAGTCTTCAAGATATCAAACAATACCATAGTGACAGTCATACTGGCAATGACAAGTATGGTATTAAGAACTTAAGTGATTATGGGTTAATCTCCCAAAGGGGAAGGGTGACATTGTGACATGAGATCGGATTACCAATGCAGAAACAATCATGACAGTTATTTACAATTATGGTAAACCAGCCAAACCCAAATGTTCTCAAAACATGCTTCATTAGGGTCTTCATTAAGACATTTTCAGTATTTCCACACAAGTTGCCATTTCTTGAATTCATGCCAGCACAGAAAGAGTCGTTTATTAGCAAAATCAAACAAAAAAGCATGAATGAGGGTTCAGCATCAAAAAAAAATTTCCATCTGTAAAAGAATGAGATAACACTGAAATGTGTTGAGCTAATGTTTTTCAAGTTTGCCCCAACATAATCTCTGCTTTTAGTCTTGTCAACTTCTGCCTAATTGTGCTCATTTTGTAGCTTCTGTGTCCTGAATTTGTTTCCTTGTCAAAGATTCACCCTCCAAACTACCAAACATAATTAACATGTAACCTGTCCTCACAACTGCAATTTCAAAACATTATCCAGCATGCAAGCAGTGAGGAAGGACAGATTTTTCACATATGTTTTCTGTCATAATGATAAATATTTTAATTCTTCTAGCTAAATGACAAAGAAATTAGCAGAGAATTACAAATCAGATAATAAGATCTCATATGTAGCCCATTTCAAAAACCAGCTGGCTATTGCTGTGAATATATTTACAGCTAAATTTATATGGCCTAGTGCTACTAATACTCACAGTCAAGTTCTGAAACACAGCAATGGCCTTTTTAGTATCCAGTTCATCTACATGTCCCTCCTTTGAAAAGAAAAGCAATCAGAGTAAAAATTCCTAGTCATGTTTCCAAAAATAAAATTAATCATGAACTTAAAAATAACTGTCCAGAATCTTCCATTGATTTAAAAAAGGTTGCCATAATAATTCTTTGACAATCAATGGAAAAAACAATAGGATTTCCTTCTGAAAGAAACACATGCTTGATCTTAAAAAAATAAATTATCCAAATTAAATAACTAAAAAAAGAATAACATTGGTAATTCTGGTTATATTTTGTCAACCAGAGTCTCCTATGACATAAAACCTACAAAAATAATTCCAGGGGTAAAATAAGGAAAAAAAATTGGAGATGCATTTCAAAACTATTCTTTTTCAATTAAAATTAAATAAATATGAACCTTCCACCCTTCCATTCCACAGCCAGGGTGCTATTGTGAAAAATTTTTTTACCTAATTTTGATGATGTAATAAATCTTTGTTTCACTTCAGATATAAGGATTATTGAGCTGTTTCTTTACAAAATTCTTCTGCAATTTCTTATCTGAACAAAAACCTTGTCCTGTGATCTGCAGCAATACTTTCACCTGACAATGTTAATACTAATAGCATTTGTTGTAAACCCATTACCTCAAGATGGCGCTCCAGTTCTTTCATATGATTTGGGTACTTGCCAAGATGTCTAAAAGGCTGATGATAAATAAATCACCTCAATTTATTTTGATGCATAGAGGGTGAAAAAATTGTTTGTAATTAATATTAATTAATAAATCACAGCACAATAAAAGTTCAATATTATAATCTTTGGTTCACAGTATTTGTCTTTTTGGTTTTAAAACACACAGCCAAATTTTCAAATATGGTTTATTTTGTCAGGGAAAACATGAGGAAAGTTAGTTTTAAAGCAAAATTAACGAAGACTAATTTTATCAAGTGATGCATTGGAATTTTTAATCAAAAAAGAGGGATTTTGGTTAAAATCCTCTGATAAGAATCGAAACAATGACCTCTTAGGTTAAAATAACAACAGCTTTATAACTGTGAGAAAATGAAAAAAAAAACAAGGAAGCCATGTGAATAATTAAGATCCATAAAAACTGAAAGTTCACGAATTTAAAAGAGAAACTGGAATTTTCTGAGAAAAAAAAAACATTAAAATTGGTTACTTTAAACGAGAAACTGTTGAAGCTAACAATAATCTTTCTTGTCTAATGTCACACCTCTCAATGATAAAAATGTTAATAATAAAACCATCAACAACAATGATAGTAGTAATTATAACAATGATAATAACAATGACAATTTTTTTTTTCCTGGGCTGGATGGTCAAAAAAATGAAGTTGTGTAGTTACAGAAACTTGTAAATTAAAATCCAATTCTGGTGGTCAATCTACTGTTTTCAAATCAAACATTAATTCATACAAAATTTTCTTAAAAAAATTCATTTTTTCAATTTGCCAACTTGAAGCAAGACAGTGTAAGTCAGCTGCAATAAATCAAACTTAAAGCTATTTTTCTTGAGGTATGAATTTCTCGCACATCTCAAACTGCTTTTCATTTCCCTCAAGACAGTGTTATTAAGTGAAGTTCCACCATAAATTTGAACTCACATTGCTGAGGCTTGTCGTCAAAGTTAGTATTCCAGGTGCTGGTGCTCCTTTGCTTTCAATAAAGGCTGATAGCTCATCACTGCAAAGCAGTAAACAACAGTCAAAACTTTATTAAGCTTCCAACATTTTAGGGCCATGGTTTTACACTAGCAGGGAACCTTGAGTATTTTCTATGAGAGGGTTGTTTTCATTAAATAAATGTCCTTCCACAACTAACTTTTGGCCCCCTTGACACTGTTCAGAAAATAAATGTTTAGATGAAAGATGGACCAAATTTCAAGATGGTTTAGAACACAGTTTTGTTAAACAATGGCAAAACTTAGTTTACATAACCTGCCCTTAGAGTTCAAATGAAAAATGTCCTAGCCTGACCAGTCTTGGAAATACCAAGACAAAGATGGACTGTTTAATGACTTTATCAGTTCATCTTGCCAGAATAATGTTTGACGCATTTAATGTTAGATTGAACAATAATACCTGTGTATAAAAGTATTAATAACTGTTTAAAGTTACCTGTATTTTGTTAAGACCTCAACTGCTCTAGGGTGGTTTGCACAATACATCAGATACAATTCCTTCATCTGTTATTTTGGAAAGTAAATGAATAAAAACAATGTTAACAATCCTTATCTGAAATTGCATGTACACCAATACTGAATAAAATACATCACTTTGAAAGGATTTTTATGGCTAACAGACAGGGACCATCTAGGGTCTTGCTTAAGGTTAGCCCCTTTACACCCTAATATCAGTATGCATACTCTCTATACTGCTCTCTGTAAATTTCCTGAGGTGCTGACAAGGAGAATTTGTCTAATCAGCCAAGAGCTTCTTTAGTCTGTGATCATCTCCTTTATTCTCGTATGTGTGCGGTTAAAGGGTTAAAATCCACAAAGGAAGTAGAAAATCATGTATGTCAAGACAAAAACAGACTTCACACAAAATATTTGGCTGGGTCTATGCAGTAGCAGGAAGGAGGAAATGAATGAACTTGTGTCATCCTGCTTTGAACCTAAACCAGAGTTGAGATCAGCAACAGGCGATCCCACAAAAAAACCATTCAAAAGCAAAAACTGTTGCTGACTCTGCTTACCTGAGGAGCAATCTGCAAGTAGCTAGCCCCCATTCTTTGTTGAGGTAAGGGAAGTCTGAGGCAAAGCAAGTAAGTAAATAAATAGTAATGAATAGTAAAACATTAATTCCTGATTGAGTATATGATATTAATATGTCATCATACTATTTTTCTTGTGAAATTTAGAGTAAATAAGCACTTGTAAATTTCTCTTAAGACTAAAAAAAATTCAACTTGCCCTTTGGGCTTGTGCAATATTGTTGGTCATTGGAAAAAATTACCCTTGATTATTCCATCAAAATTGCACCAGAAATTATGCAATTATCTGAGCAAATATCCGTGGAAACTCAATGTTACACCAAGATTACAAATCTAACTTCTGACTAATACATCTTCCCATTCTTTCTAACTTTTCCTAGGATAATGTTTTGATTTTGAAAGGAGAGATTGAATTTAACTAACTTCTGATAGTTCAAGAGTTAACCCTTTGACTCCCAACATCTGATCATTAATTCTCCTCTCTAGCTACTACACATTTCCTGGCTAATTAGTCACAAGAATTTATTGTTAGATCAAGATGACAACTTATACCTGATAGCTTTGAGTATTCTCATTACCTGTTTGCTGAATAATGTATAGATATTGCAGGGAGAAGTTACACCTTAATCACTTCTGGGAGTTTAAGGGTTTAGCTGACCAGAGGCCAACCCCACCACTGGGAAAAACGTATTCCTAACCAGGGTATAGAGGGTATGATGACCCATATAAAACAAAATTAATTTCTTACTGTGCACATTCATCCATGATATTGAAAAACATCTGCTGAAACTGGACGATCTCCTCAAAGTTTCCTGCAAGAACCTTCATGTCTTGTGCTGGTAATCTGATGTTTAAACAAGAGAAAAATGAACATCAGCTATTTAGGATTCAAGAAGCTACATCATTTTATCATGGGCCATTTTTCAGACCACCTACAACTGCCTTTCATTCCAAGGAATTGCAGTTGTTTTGGTGAAATGTATTCATGGACAACATGACAGCTGAGATGGTTATGGAGAAGTTGTTTGATAAGTGTGCCTAACCCTCATTAGAGCATTACGAGCAGTGCTCCTCTAAGTAAATGTGAGGTTTCATGTAAAAAAACAGTTTTATCTCCGGTTGATAAGCTACCACTATAATGCCTAACAAGAGCTGTTATAATAAATAATATAATTATAATTACAAATACTTAAATTAATCACATGATACAATACACAAACTTACGTGTTTGAAGCCTGTAAGGGTTTTAAGTAATTTTGTAATAAAGCCTGTAAACAAAAAAAGTGATCATCCAAGCTTAGGAGAATTCAAAACATTATTAAAAATTAATTACCAAACAGTATCACAGTGTGACTTCTTTTTCTTGGATCACTTCAACTACACATAACTAATTTTAAAAATACTGATTACCAACTGCATAACATGTCTAATTTGTTGCAACCCCACAGTAGTCACAATCCAAATTTAAGAAATTTCATAATTTTCATCTTCATAATGTTAATCATGTACATTTTTTAATGTAAACTAGATGACAAAAAAATAGTTGATGATTGAAACTTACCTGTAGTTCACTAACATGAGCTCTCTCAGTATCCAATATGTTTTGAACAACCTGTGTGAGACATAGGAGAAATGAACACAGAAATAAAGTTATGTTTCAAAAAAATTATAATAAATTTAATAAAACAGATAATGAGTAAAAAGCACAATGAGTAAAATGAGTAAAAGCACAAGTATGGTAAAATAAATGCAAATCTCACCAAGTTATGGTAGACCCTTGCACTTTCCCTTCTGCTTGTTGATGATGATGATGATGGCTGAGGAGTGACTGGTGTTGTAGGTTCAGGACCTGGATGTTAATGAAGAAATATTTTTTGATCATTAAATGCATTTAATAATATATAACCACAAGTCAGTTATAGGGATTGTTGAGGTCCATCTGCATGGACTCCAAATCAAAGGGTCCAGTGCTATCAATATGCATATTCTCCATACTGTTTTCAATTTATTTCCTGTTTTACTGGCAAGGAGAATTTGACCAATAATCAAAAGTTTCTTTAGTTGGCGATCATTAAACTAGTTCTCATGACCTTACAGAAGGTGGTCCCTAATAGGGGTTCTTAATAAAAGGATAGGAAGGGTCAGTCATAAGATAGATTTGTCAAGTTATTCAAAAAGGCTTTTTGCACAAAGAGTCTCTCCACCTTCTTGACAATAAATGGATGCCAATTGACATTCAGAAAAATGCGAAAAAGTGTGGCAAACCAGGGATGAAATGCTATCTTGTCTCATCTCCCTAATATTGTTTTACCTTTCCCATTTCAGGATGGGTGGAAATGCCTTTCATGTATCTTAACTCAAAAGGGTTAAGGGTGCAGGTACCCATAATAATAACACCATGAGCCACTTACTTGCTGATATTTCTTTCACATAGTTGCTAGGAAACCATCCAACTTTGCCATTTAGGGTTCCTTCCCACCATCCTCCATCTACAGCCTGCAAGGAAACAGGATACAACAGACACAATGCTTGTTATGGATGATAACATACAACAGCATGGGACAATGAAGAAATCTGGAGTCCTTGTGAGCAGTCCAACCTCAGACCTATGAATTTTGTGCTGTCATGCCCTTCCACTGAGCCACAGAGACTCCAAAGTAAGATAAGTTGTTATAAGGTTCATATGTGACATGTGTCCTGAGTACTGCATCAGGTGCACAAAGGGGATAAGAAAGATGATAAATTTTGAGCTTGGTAATAAAATAGACAGAAACTTAAGTCTGTACTCAAACCAAGAGGCCTGCCCAACCAGAGCTTATCTCAGTTTCCTTAGTATGAAGCAACTAGGAGTATCATAACCCCCCCTAGATGGGATCCTAGACAATTACCAGGTTACCCCCTGCATTTCATCAGGCTTCCCTGACAATTTGCCGCTACCCATTTATACTCCTGGGCCTGGTAGTTCGAAGTGGGATTAGCACTAGCCCAGGAATAAATTTTAATCCAGGTTTCTCTATTCCTTTGTTCAAAAGCCTTTTCTGAAAAATTAACTTTTTTACTCTTTGAGCATCTAATCATCAAATTGTAGACAAAAGGAATGGTACTGAATCTTAATTTTAAATTTTCAAATCAGAATTGGATTGTAGGTAACTTTTTCTAGTTTTACTAGACTGAAGATACAGTACAAGGGATCTGAAAACACTGCAAATAACCAAGCAGATGGCCACTCTTGTAAAATCTAGCCTTGGCCTCAATATTACAAAAATAACATCTTAGAAAAGTGAAGTATCATCAAGTTTAAAGTTAAATATGCAAAATAATTTTTTAGATCAATGACTGTCTTATTACCAACCTTTGTAACTTCCAGAATATCTCCTCTCTCAAAACAGAGCTGGGAAAAATGAGAATGTCAGTGCTCAAGTTAAACCTCAAACTATGATCAACTACTACAGCTACAACTAACAAATTGTGCAGAAAGAGGACCTAATTGACTTTTGATGCAACAATTACTTCTCCCTCTGCTTCACAAGTGGATCAAAAAATATGTACAGGCATGTACAGTATATAGAAAAAGAGAGGTGGTAAGTTTTGAGCTTTGTAAAGAAATAGAGAGAGATGTTCTCTGTCTTGTCATGAGTGTGGGACAAAGAAAAAATTCTGAGTCACCATGAGAAATTGAGCCTCAGATCTTTGGATTCTACACTTGCATTCTCTACCTCTGAGCCACAGGGACTCTATGGCGACCCAGGCCCATGAGCCACAGGGACTCTATGGTGACCCAGGCCCATGAGCCACAAGGACTCTATGGTGAGCCAGGCCCATGAGCCACAGGGACTCTATGGTAACCCAGGCCCATAAGCCACAGGGTCTATGGTGCCCCAGGCCCATGAGCCACAGGGACTCTGTGGTGAGCCAGACCCATTACAAAGTTCATATATGACACACGTCCTGCATACTGCTAGGATCAGCGATATCTATAGCCTTATATTTTGAGATAACATTGTAATGTAATATATGTACAGTGTATGTACATTATGTATACTTAATTGACCACCATCCCATTGGAGCCTTCCATGACCAAAATGAATGAATGAATAAATGAATGAATACACATAGCATTTTAAAGTCCCAACTGGCAGGAGGTAGACCAGTTGGCTATAAACAAAGTGCAGCCAAAGGAGTAGAATTCCGGGCAATTGCAAACAAATACAGAGAGTAGCACAGTGGAGGGCTTGAACACAGCTACACTGTCTCCATAAAATAACACAATCTGCATGACCGGGTCTGGATTTGAAGGGCCCAAAAAAAACTTTCCTGTGGTGCCCCCTTTAAATACATTTGTTACTAAAAATCCTCTCTCACCTCATCTTCATCTCTTCCATTGAATGGAAAGGCTGCTTTTACAAGGTGGATATCAACTCCATAATCTGTCATTTCCTAGGTCAAATAGAAACATTTTCAGAATGCCCCTTTTAGATTATCCCAAGTTCCTAGGCATGGCCCACTTGTTAAACTACACATTCAGGTACAACATATGGTTTTTAGACTGGACTAGATAAAGATGTCCAGGTTCATTTACGAGTGGTACTCTTGGGCAGGACACTTTACTCTGCTAGTGCATCTCTATTCCAGAAAATATATGTATGTTATTCACCAGCCAGGAGGTCAGTACTGGGTAAATACTGTGCCTGAGGTCTTGGATACCACCCAAGGCCATATGCAAGACAGAGGGCACAGTTTTGCCAATTGATACTGACCGACCTAGGCTGGTGAATAACTTTTTTTTTCTAAAGCAAAAGAAATGTTTTCCAAAAGAACCTGAATAACTTAGGGCTGTAATTACCACAAGATCCTCCAGAAATGGAACAATTTTTGAGCAAGTAGAAGGTAGAAAAAACAGAGGTAATACAAATCAAAAAGAGAGGCTCAACTGAAACATTTCTATTTGCATAAAAACAAACAAACTTTGAAATATTTTTTTTATAAGTATCTGTCATGATCTGACAGAAGAAGCCTGCGCATACTTTTGAAAAAACATAAGCAATGGTTTGGCGAGCAAATAAGTTAAAAATTTGCTCAGAGTTTAACAACAAACAAATTATTTTGGAGAATTCAGATACTATCTGAATGAAAGTTCTATTGATTAATGTAACTGATAACTGCAAATACCCTTTTTTACCTGATTTTTATTAGGGCAAGCTCTCAGTGCATTGGATCACTAATGCTTGTAAGACTATGTAAAACTAAGTTACATTTTCAAAGGTACTTAAAAAAGCTTAAAAACAACTAGTAAAAGGTTAAATATCTCTGGCTTGTGTTGGACCATTACTACACTCACAAAAAAATATGTATTAATTTTAATCACTCATCCTCTCTGTACTTACAAGGTGTCTTGTGTCGTCAACAACTTCTTTTTCTGACTCTTGTGCTGAATCAATAGTGGTTACTTCATGATGAGTAAACTGCTTTCCCATGCCATATCCTGAATATAGTAACATCAAAAATGGTTAAAAGGGTCATTTCTCACAGTTTATTAGACCTCTTTGACAATGCCATTCTTCTAAGATTTTTCCAAACATTTTTTCACTATTGACAAAAATAAACTTATTTTTTGGTTTCTGTATGGTATTCACTAAAACAATATTAACCTCTGTGTAGGTGAAAATGGTGGCTTTTTACCTCCACTTTGTTGAATAATTGTTCAGCAATGAAGATTGAAGAACTGTTTTTCTCTGTTCAGTAAGAATCTTATATAAACACTTCTTTGTTTGTGTGTCACAATAAAAACTTCTGGATCACCAGCAATTGTGTCACCCCCATTAAGATTGTTTTTTTTCATCAACCAAAGTAATTCATTTTGGCCTACCTAAATAGGTATTACCTTTCCTACAAGTACAGGGCTGAAGCTGAAGAGGGGCTAATGCTTAAAACAACTTACATTATCAATTTCAAAATTTAACTGATTATTTTAAATGATTAAAGGGGGTAAGTTTCTAAAGAAACTGTTGTGCTACTTCCTGGGGGGAGTATAACAAGATAACTTTGAATTTATCAACTGAGTTGATAATGTAAATTGGTTACCATAAAGATTATCAAAGCTGATGTTTTGAGCATTAGCCCTTGGTCGGAGCAAGGGGTTAATGCTCCTGAAAACCAAAGTTATCTTGATGATGTTAAAGTTGTCTTGATATAATACCAAATTCTCATATCAAAAAGAAAATGCTGGGGATTAGCCAAGGACAATTCTCTCTCAAGTCCACATCACACACATCACACACTAAAACAATGTTGGGTAAGAGTGCTGGCAGTAAACTTCAATTGTACAGAATGAGATATACCTCAAGTTCTTTTGTTCAGAACAATAGACGACCACGTTAAATTTATGAGTTAGCTGAGTGGAAAGGTTCAAAAATTATTTTGTTGTCAATTCCTAATAGCTATCTAAAGATCACTGAAGAATTATGAAAAGTGAGTGATAAAATCTGATGTGTAACCACGGAAGACAAGTGTGCAGTATCGATAATATTTTTCTTTGGTCAACTTACGAAGTGTAGCCTTGACTTTCCGAAGCATAGAAGTAAACTTTTCTCTATGGATAAATCGCTGTAGGCTTTCACGTTGATTTGCAGATGACGAATTGAATTCAAACATCGATCAAGGTTTTAAAAAGCTTGTGTCAAAGTGAAATACTGAATCAAGTGTGTTGGAAGGTTCGGTCAGTTTCACTTCCCATTCATGCACGAGTATTAATATGTATATGAAATTCAAAACTTCTTCTGTCGCAAAACAAAAGCGTAATTACCAAATACGGATTTTCCTTGAATATCAGTTCACTTCCTTTCGGAAAATCATGAGAGTTTGACAAATTCACGATCGCTCGACGTAAAAAGTAGTGAATCTCAAGCTTGAAAATTGTTCACGCCTCATCATATCACGTATTTCGAAACAAGTTACCTTTGCAATCAGCAAAAGTAACTTTTCGTCTATAGTCAACCCTATTACTTCTTCTTCCTGTTACAAAATCGTGAAAAGCCAACTGTTGTTTGCCAGTGGAACAAAAACTCGTTATAAATACAATAAATAAGTACTAAAATATCGCTTCGATTCACTTTGCAAGTAGAACACTGAAAGGTAAGCACGTCATACCCCTAACTGTCATAATTTATGGCAGTAAAACCCAAGCCTTGACGCCAAACAACAGTAAACAAGTGTGTGCTCGTGCCTACCTTTGAGAAAATTCGCGAACAACCACAACAGATCAAACTGATCCAAAAGTTTGAGCGTGCGAGGCGGACAAGGAACCCCGTAGCTTTCATGCAACAACAAACAGGAACCAATCTCTATAAACACGCTCTAAAAGCTAGTTGTACAAATCTATCAGTTTCGAATCAGAATTTATGCTGAGAGCTGAACCTAATGTCACGATCGAGCGCTTTGTTCGTACATAGCACATGACAATCAATCAATGAAAGTTGACAGAAAATATATTTAGCCTTAGGGAGAGTCTGAGTGAGAAAGAGATAACTTTACAGATCACGTACCGTTGGCCACATTTTCAAGGCAGTCAAGAGTCCGTAGAACACGAAGGAACCCTTCTTCAGAGTCGAGATCGTTCGGAGTGAAAATCTATACACACAAAAACATGGCGTATGTTAATTTCGACTTGCTGAGCGTGCTCAGAGAGGGCATGAAATTTTAATATCGGAACGCTGATGTTTATTTAAAATAGTCATAATGTGAGGAAATTATTCATTTTCGGTATCAAACCTCGTTGTCTTTCAGTTGCAGATCTTGGCAGGCGATCAGAAATGAGCTGAAGTTCTCCAAGCGCTCCTCTTCGGAAAGTGGTTCCTGGTAGATCTACGACGAGAACGACCAGCGGAAAAATTGTGAAATTGACCACGCTCATTTACATGACAAAATACCGAAACAGATCTCATTGCTGTTGATAAATAGTCCCTCTCTCACCTTGTTTATTGTCCCTGGCTTCAACCGATTCACCAAACGGCAGAGTATTGAGCCGTCTTTCAAAATATCCCGCAGATAGCTGTCAAACTCATGATCGGCAGCTTTTTGCCGCTGTTCCAAAAGACCCAAAGCGACAAACCAGCTCCCGATTTCGCGCGGTTTAAGCCGCATATTTTTTTAAACTTCGCCGATCAGGGGTTCGAAATCTGCACAGCGATTACAGCGCTGAGAAAAATAAACCCTCACCCACCGAGCCTGAGGTGGTTTGACCAGAAGGGTGTAACGACACACCTCGCTAATAATTATGTTATCCGGGATTAATAAACAGGCATCATTCAGGTTACGCGCCAAATATTTTGTAATTGTTCAAAAATAATACTTGGGACGAAAATCTGTACTATTAAGTGACTACAAATCAAAGTAAATATCTCCTAATTTTAATGGTTTCAACAATGGATTTAAGTTGTTATAGCGATGACTTCTCCGTCTTCAACAAATCACGGATAATCGGAGATATACAAACTCGGACAGGTTTTACGCGCGGGAAGTTTTAAAACCGCGATTTCCGGTTCGTGACAAAAGTCGATTACAAATCCTCTTTGTGCATGAATTGTAAGAAAAGCTTCATTTTTTACCAAATGACTGATCGCCAAAGTTTTACAAAAACATGGAAACAGAACATACGCGGAGTATCTTGTTTGCTCGGAAGTGCAATTTTGTTTCGTTTTCCCTTTTCAATTTGGTTCCCAGGATCCTCTCTCTTTCCGCCATGAGGGGACGTTGGGAACTAAGTCGAAGTCAAATCTTTATAAACTCACACTCTACCGTTCTTAACAAATGATTCTTAATATCATCAGTAGTAAAGGACTCACTCGTTCACCGGGGTCTCTCTTTCGTTTTTCGATACTCGTGATTAAAAATAGTGCGCGCGCAGTCTCCATGAAGCAATCTCTGGTACAAAGGCTTCTACGTTTTAAGAGTAAATTCCTATAGTATAGATAACACGTACAAACAATTTCTCGAGAAACGGCTCTAGAAGCTTTTTTAAAAATGTGAAAATAAATGCACTTTTTTGACCTCATCATGAAATACAGGGATCATATTTTCAATTTTTATTCATCAAGTGATGTGCTACCGGTAATTTTGAAGCGCAGTCAAAACGTAACTGCAAAGAAATATTAATTAGACTTACTCGTCCCTGGTCGTTTCTTCGTTTTAAAACGCGGCTGCGTTGTTGCGAGAGACTAGCAGTACCACGACAAATGGGCCGATGGGAAAAAAGAAGATTGAGGAGAGAGACCGCCTTCCCATCTTTACCTTGTGCGCTCTTCTCACCCACTTCCTTTTTTGATGATATTTTAAAACAGAAAAGAGATGAAGACGGGGGACGGATCAGAGAAAGGAATCCATCTTTGAAGGAGGAAGGGGGGAGGGCACTGTTACCACATGGACAAACCAAAGTATAAAACTCCCATCACTCAGCCTACCAAACTAAAACATTGTGTAATGCATGTTTATTTGTTCTTCACTTTTGTCACTTAACATCTTTCCTATTAGGATTTCCATGGAAGGAAAATGACAAATTAAATTTTACAAAGAAACTTCCTAAAAAGTTATTATTAACAAGTGTACTTTAACCTACTTAAATGGTTGCAATATACTCTTTTCCAAAATGGCAAATGAAATGCAAAATTAATCATGAGGAGAGATGCTTTCAAAAACTTACATGACCTTGGTGAATAAATTTCCAGTGTAGTTTGAAATCTCATGTTTTTCATTTTAATCTGCCATCTTGGAGGAGAGTCTACCATATCAAATTTTTTCAACAAAATGTTAGTTGTTAGTATTTCAATACATGAACCTTGGGCAAATGAGGTTCTGGTCAAATTAAGCAACAGACCTGTCTATCTCTGACAAGTGTGTTGTTTTACTTTTGCATTTACAGCCATCACTGATACTGTCACACGATGCCAATCCTAACCAACAAGTGACAGCCCATGTATTGGGTGTAACAAATGCATTATTACTTAGCATTAACAACAAATAACCCTTTAACTCCCAAGATCAGATTTCTAATTCTCCTCTCTGGCTGTTATACATTTCCTTGTAAATTAGTTAAGAGAATTTGGCATAAAACGAAGATAACAACTCTGATAAGTTTGAGTATTCTTATCACCCATTTGCTGGATAATGTAAGACATCAGGAAGAAAGGTTTATCACTTCTGGGAGTTAAAGGGTTAATATTATATAACTACATCCTTTTAAAAGATTACACCTTCATATTTTCCTTCCTAATGCCCAGTTGTGACATGCTTTCAGTATATTGCTTCAAACTACTGTCATTCTGAAGGGAAAAGTGAATATTGTCAGACAAATCATCCCTTAAGATGAAATTGAAAGGATTAGGTGGCAATATTGACTGAACCTGTGTAGAATGACTATTTTTCAGTAAAATTTATTACATTCAAATTATTCTGTTAGAGACAAGTTTCACATAATTTTCCAAGATTTGCAAGGTCCTACTGTAGCGCTTACTGCATTTTTTACTACCTAACTATTTTCTCATTATTTTTTCTTACTACATGTCTACAGTTACAAGCTTTTTTTCTGCATGGGATGATGGGAACTGATTATGTAATGAGGATGGGAATAATGGGGGGAGGGGTGGGGAGAGGGTGGGTGGTTATGGACAAAGACTTCAGGGGAGTTGGGAGAGGGAGCTTCCTCTGGGGAATTCATTTTGTATATCATAGTTGCATTGCTTGCATTTTGCAAAGTTAAGCCCACATAAATGGCTTCTGAGGGGAATCAGTTTTGTTTCATTTTCAATTTGTCAGGAGGGTTCGTTAAATCTCTCCAAAAGTCTATTCTGTTCTCTCTATCTAGAGATCACACAATATGTTCCATAATAAAATATGTTTCATATTTAACAGCAAAGAGTTAACAATGCAATCTATGACAGAAATGACTTAAACAACCAGAAGTTGCCTGTAATCTTTCTTTTCTCTTAAAAACAAATTCCACTAAGCCATTTGATCCATCCTTTGTGGCTAAGATCATTTGGGAATTAATTCCAATAACATTGTGACCTAAATCAACCAGCTTTCTACATAAATGGATTTGTAGACTGTCCTTGTCTTTGCATGCCTTGTTGTGCTCCAGCATTCTAAAATTCAAATAATGTCATTAACTTAAAGAAATGTTTTATAATTAGTCTTGTCAAGGGCATGGAACAAATATAACATATTTACGGCCCAGACTCTTTGGCTTCTCTGTGAAAATACTCCCATATGAAGGAAATACTGGGTCTAATGGTCTTCACTAAAGCATAAACTTGAATCAAATTAAACTATAGCTAGATGTTATTCTGTAAAAGAAAGAGGAGTGGGAGGTTGAGACTGATCATTCTCAATGTAAGGATACACTTCAGGTAGATGGGAATTTGAAATAAAGGCAAAGACCTAGATGGTAATGGGAAATGGATATATGGGGCACTTTCAACATGCTTGATGGGGGAAGGTACAGCACCCCGGTTTTGGCCACCATGTCTCCCAAATCTATATTCCAAAAATATTTCAAGCACTTACCATAAATGGATTTGCCTGCGGACTTTGTTGCCATCCCCCTCCAAACTGCTGCATTTGCTGCTGTTGTCCAAACTGACTGCTTCCCATTCCAGACATGTTACCACCAAATGCTGCTCCTCCCTGATTTCCAAATCCGCCACTTGGCTGCGCACCAAAGCCTCCAGGAGCTCCAAATCCTGAGGGTTGCTGCTGAGCTCCAAAGCTGTTGCCACTAGACATGGAACTTGCTCCGAATCCACCTGCTGAACCTCCAAACATGGATGTTGGCTGTCCAGCACTAAATCCCTGACTACCACCAAACCCAGGTTGATTTCCACCAAAGTTCATTTGACCTCTCACTGGAGGTTGTTGCGGTAAGCCACCCCCCATTTTTCCAAACTGTGCTGAAGCCAGTGCTGTCATTCCTGCACCACCAAAGCTGAGATTCTGTTGGGTAGATGTTGGAGGCATACCCATATTTTGGCCACCCATTTGTTGCTGGCCTCCCATGCTACCCCAACCAGACTGCTGGTTTCCACCAAATGATGATTGCTGAGGTGCTGTTGTTAAGTTGCCGAAGCCACCAGTAAAGGATTGAGTGTTGCTAAAAGACTGCTGATTACCAAATCCTGAACTTACAGGCTGACTTCCACCAAAGGATTGTTGACTTCCAAATCCTGAATTAACAGGCTGACTGCCACTGAAGGACTGCTGATTACCAAATCCTGAATTAACAGGCTGATTGCCACTAAAGGACTGCTGATTGCCACTAAAGGACTGCTGATTGCCACTAAAGGACTGCTGATTACCAAATCCTGAACTTGGCTGACTGCCAAATACTGATCCTGTACCTGTGGTTGCACTCATGCTGCTTGCTTGATTCATGCTATTCATGGGACCATTTAGCTGACCAAACCCTGCAGGGCCTCCTCCCAAACCTTGAAATGGATTGGATGGCTGCTGTTGCTGCTGCTGTGGCTGTTTGGGCTGCTGAAAACCTCCGGATACACTTCCAGTTGATGTATTTGAGAAAGGATTTGGTCCACTAGACATTCCAAATGAAGATGAGCCACCTGATCCAAACCCAGTTCCAGTACTAAGGCCTGTGTTACTACCACCACTTGATGGACCAAACAAGTTATCCAACTCACTCAGTGCTGCATACTTGTCTCCTGCTGTGTTTTGGGTAGCTGTGCTTCCAGACGCTGACACAAGTGGACCAAATCCAGCATTTGATGTAGGTTGTGGTTGTGATGGTGCTGAATTGTAGATTTAAACCCAAGAAGAAAATTAAAACCTCATTCCTCAAAAAAAATTTTTTTTTCTCCTTGCTCTTAATCAAACATTTCAACCTCTAAAACTAATGGAAATTACCTGACTAAAGCCTCTAGTTTTCAGTATTCCTGAGGAATAGGATAGCACACCAATTTGAATCTTAGCAAGGAATCTCCCTCGATTTCCCAGAAAGTTAACAGAAAAAGGACAGATATAAGTTGTAGGTAACTGGAAAACAGGATCATATATATAGTATGATATCTGGCAAAAAATTGCTTCAAATCCACTAAAAAATCTTGATGTGACCTAAAAGATGCATCGCTTATATCAAATTTTCTGTGCTGAACCATTTTAAGCTTAATGCCTGAGGGAAGTTGCTTGGAAAAATCCTTGTGTTATTCTGGAAGTGAAGTTAAGCCATGTTCTCAAACCTGATGATGGAGGAGCACCAAAGGCATTAAACCCTCCTCCTGATGATGATGGAGGTGATCCAAATGCATCAAACAAATTAGTTTGCTGTTGTGGTTGAGGAGCAGGTTGCTGCTGCTGCTGCTGGGGAGGGGCCCCAAATGCAGCAAAACTTGGCTGAGATTGTTGAGCAGGTTGGGGAGTTGATGATCCAAATGGATCAAAAGAATTCTGAGCAGGTGCTGCTGCTGGTGCGCCAAACGCATTCTGTGCAGGTGCGGCCGCTGGTGCACCAAATGCATTGAAAGATCCAAAGCCACCTGCCTGTGGTGGTGATCCAAACTGACCTGAAAAAAAAATAATTACCAGCACTGGCATAAACATATTTTCAGAATACACAAATACTTAATATCATTAGAGCTAAAAAATTTTGATGTTAGCTCCAACCAAAATTTTCTTTGCATACTGTCTGCTAGCAACAATTGGTCACTGAGCAATATCACAGTATCGCACTGAGCAATATCACAGTATCACACTGAGCAATATCACAGTATCACACTGAGCAATATCACAGTAAAACCTGTAATTGGAACTTGCAAAGTTTTTGGAGCAGACTGATAATTACAACACCAAGTTGTATAACAGTACTGAAAGATAGCATGAGAAAGAAAATAGGGTTTGAGTTTGTGTTTAACCCTTCAACTGATTAAAATCTAACTTCTCCCTGTAATATCCATGCATTATCCAACATACAGGTAATAAGAAGACTCAAACTTATCATGTAAAAGTTTTTTCTTGATCTAAGACCAAATTCGTGTAACTTATTGACAAGGAAATGTGTAGCAACCAGAGAAGATAATTAACAATCAGATCATGGAACTTAATGGGTTACATCATATCGTAAAAAAATTTCCTTTCAGACTTTTTTTTTTTCCTTGAGATACCATCAAATGCACTGACAGAGGTAATATTTTTCTAACACCTAAAAAGCATATTATTTTCAAGTGGATCTTGTTTGTGTTTTCTAAAGTTTGGTGGAAAAATTAGGTTCACATCGGACTGTTAACATTCTTGCCAACCAGACTGAATGGCAATGTATTTACCAGGACATTGAAAGGAGTATCTAAACCTTGATCATTGTCGAAGACAAAAGCTTCCTGGATACAATACTAAATTTTCATCCATAGCACAAAAAGAAACATAAGGTTTGCAGCTGTGAGAATTTGACTGTTAGAAAAAGAGGTAAACTGTGTTCTAACCCTGTGGTTGTGGAGTTGCAAAGGGATCTCCTCCTAAGTCACCCAGTAGATCCACCGATGGAGGCTTTGGTGGAGCTGGTTGTGGAGCTGGTTGTGCAGCAGGCTGTGCAGTACCAGGGGGTGGAGCAACAGATACTGGTGTTGGTGAAGCACCTGTTTGGCTTCCCGTGCGAGGTCTCTCTCTTGTTGCCTGTGCCTGAGTGAAAAGCAACAAGAGTCAGTCGTATTATGGATATGTGCTCAAATTCCCCTTCTGATTTACAAGAAAATATGTGACAGTCAGTCACGAGAATTACTGACTGGATCTTGCCAGTTTAAGGGTTAATAACATTGATAATAACATCTTTAACAGTTTTAAATATCAATTTCGTTTTTAAAAGGAACAAGATCTGCTAAATGGGCACGAACTTTTAAACTTACTTGGACTGTTACAGGAGGGGTATTTTCTCCTAAAAGTTGCTTCAGTGGCTTGGGTTCTGGTGCTGACTGGCTTGTGTTGTTAGCTGTGGCTTGCTGAGGGGGCATATACCATCTTTTTCTCTCATATTTCTGGACCATAAAATCTTTTATTTTTTGTTCGTCTCTGGACTCTGGTTCTGCTGGTGCTGAAGAGTTCCACAGTCCCAACCATACCTTTTTACAATACTGCAAAGTGCAAAAAAGGAAAAAAAAATACTTTTCATGCTATACACAAGTAAAGGTTGAGGCATAATCAACTGTAGTTCCTGAGTAAAAAATAGCACATTCTCAAAACATACAGGTATTTGTATCATAATTTAGACCTAATAGATTCTGTGAAAGAGTTGTTTCTATTCCCATGAGGATGGATTCCTTGAAACTTTTAAACACATTAGCAGGTATACTAAATCATTTTATTTACACAGAAAATATAATTACAACAACCATTTGTACCAAGAGACAAAATGAGGAAACAGCATCAATTGATTGTTATCCCAATTCTAATAACAAACAAATTAAAAAATAATGTATGCATTTACAACCACCAGCAGTAAAAGTCAGCATGAAATGTGTACCTCAGAGCTGAATTCATAACTACAAGGGTACCGAAAATAATTGGAAATTTCTGAACTGGAATAAGTGATACATTTTTCACATTTGTATATATTCAATAACTAATAATAATTTAGCAAAACCCATCGACACGTCTTTGTAATGATGATCATAAAAAGTTCTTGCATGCTCCATTTAACTTCAGAAATTTTCTCTACAGTTAACCACTGACTGCAAATTTTAAACATCAGCAAGAGATGCTTGTCAATGCACAGCAAGGGAACAATACTATTCAAAAGAATATTTTGTCTTTATCTGAAAGTTAATAGAGCATTTTTTTTTTATTCTCTTTTTAGAAAATATCTATCTGTTATTCAATCTGAACACCGGAAAAAGCAAATAGTAATGTTCAGCAAATTTCACTCATTAGAGGAACCCGTCCTGAATAAAACCTTGGGAACCAGTCCTTTTAAAAATGGATTTCCTTGTCAACTTGCTTATTCCAAAACAAAATTGTAAAAATTCTAAGTTATTTTCCAGACAACAATTAAATTAAGCTTTGTGCTCAAATGCAATTTTCCCTTTTTTCTTTTAATATTATATTAGTATTGTTGTGCACAAACCACATAATATAAAAGGTATGCTAAATTAAGGTAATTATTATTAATAGAGATATATCAGTTTGAAAATCCCGTAATGGTTTGAGAACTGGGATTCCCTTTTTAAATTTGTCATTCAAAATATACTGTCAGTATTTCCTTTCTTCTTTACATTAAATATGACATCTTTGGAAAGAGTAAGCCTATGAAAAATTTCACTTTTCAATTGTTTGAAATTTAAAGCTGAGTTTTGTCTATGGCAACCAGTGACTGCATGATGTTTTGAGAAATAAACAAGGGAAGGGTTGTGTATTTATTTGACAAGTCTTCATTGATATCATTACAATACAGAGAGCACCTACACCCTGGTAGTAAATTAGAACAATCAAGATGTTTTGAATGCAGTCTGTATGGGTAGTATTTGTTTTATGCTGAAAATACCATCAACATTTTTAAGAAACAAAAAGACAAGATTCTTTCCTTTGCAATTATCAGCGCATTGATGCCTATAAATTTTAATGTTCAGTTGCAAATGTGTACATTAATTAACCGATTTCTATGTTTTGCAGCAGTTTAAAACAGCCTTACCAAGCTTAAGAAACAAAAAGCCAGCGCATCAAGAGTAAATCACGCGAGAAATCAAAGTCTTAAACGTACGTGTGATTTATCAACTGAATGAATCAAAAAACGGCCGACTACTATCGCTTTCAATTTGGAATATCTTTGCTTTGTCTTCGATTTGTGGCGAACAATGCAACCACAAGGAACTATATAATGATCTCGCGCCATTTTTGTATACTGATCGCTAAGCGGAGTGTATTTTGCTCTGTAATTCGACCCAATTTACTCCATTCTGGTTTAAAAGTAAAAAGGCGTTGAAATATTAACAATATTGTTCGTTCGGACTAAATAAGTACAAACGTACAGATACAAAGTGAAACTAACATGAGAGATATCGGCAAGGCAGATTCCAATTAGTCACGAATTGTCACGGCTGGAAGATATGACCGGTTGTTAACTTTTTGGCAGACCATGCTGTACGATATCGTGTTTTATCAATAATCACATATTTTGACTCATTTTCTTGGATCCCAATGTGCTAACTACATATCATAGGCCATAATAAAACTGGCTAAGTTTTATATTGTACAAACCGTTGGCACGAATGTGGAATTGAACTGAGCTAGAAAACTGTGTAAGCTCGAGGGTGTTACAACCAAATATCTCATTTATTGCGAAGAATTTGAGCATCCATCGAGTAAGAAACAAGCAAAAACCGCCCTAAATAACTTTAACTAAGAATTAAAGTCCGCTAAGGGATCTAATGATCGAAAACTACGTACCACTTCATTTCACTAAAGTTCTAAACTCGTGTCTTATAAACCACATAGACGAGACTTTACCTCGTTTCCCGTTCCTTGTAGATTTTCTATTTCTTGTGGAGTAAAGCTTGTCATCGAAATTGATTTTACTCGATAAGGAGGGTTTAGCCCACGTCTGTATAAACGCAAAACAAAATAGGGAAATAATTAGCGTTTAGCAGAGTTACATGGCCAAATCATTCAACTCTGTAGAATACGAGAAAAGTCGGCGAAAATTCATGCCAACTCTACTCACAAAATGCCGCTACATGATGTACAAACGAAAGATCCTATAGTGGTATTCACATATGTAGGTCCCCTCTGCCCACAATCGAAACATTTTTTGTTGTGGGGTAAAGCTGCGAGATCTCGAAGAAGTTTCAAGTTTTTCTCGTCCTGCTTTTTCTTGGCAGAAGCCATCATGGATGTTGCTCGGCCAGCGTATCTTGCACTGCGCAAGTCTTGTGAGTAGATTGCAGGGGAGGGGTAGAGTTTGCCCTATCGGTCACGCAACTTGGTCACGTAACCATTCTTTTTGCGTGCCGTTATTTTAAAATCAATTTATTTATTAATTTTCTTTATTCGTTTTTTCTGTTGTTTTTTAACATGATTTGTCTCCTTCTTTTTCTTTTTTTACTCCTTTTTTTCGGGGGATGGGGAGCGGGGGGAGACAGCACTTTAAACCAAAATATTTTATGAACAAGAGGAACATGATCCACGCGATTCTCTCCAGAGGTCGTAATTCAATTCATTGCAAAGTTAAAGGAAACATCTAAACTAGAAACTAAGACAAACTACGTAAACGAAGGTCACACACCCTTCCTTTATTTACAATTTAATTACACGATCGAATTGGCGACTCGATTTTGCATAAATCGCGTAACAAACAATGAAAAGGAGGCGGAAGTAGCGTCAAGTAATAATTCGGCATTTCCTGCAGTTGCTATAAATACATCCTGATATTGGACTGGTTATAGATACTACTCTTCGCAGCTATTTGAGTGAAATGATTGAGATATTTTGAAGAGGAGCCGATCATTTTAGAGCACCATAAAACAAACACATTACGAAGACGTCTCGAAGATTTCTGAAAGAATTGATGTTTTTCCTCCCAAAATCTGAAGTTTTGTGGAAGGTACAATCCTGAACAAAGGTTTTTTTTCATGGAATGACGAAAACCTTTTATAATTTGAATATCTGCGAAAACAGTTTCAGGCAAGGCTTTAATACTTAACAAGCTGAATGATACACGTATTTTGATTCGATTTTACTTTTGATCTCTTGGATAACAGGTGGATATGATGTCATTGATGAAAACATTTTTCTGCTTCTCAGTATGAAAACCAAATAGATTTCAAGATCCGTGCGCCTGTTCAACAACAGATCATAAAAGGTGTCAAAGTGTATCAGAAACATTGTTGACATACTCCGCTGCGCTTCGAGTACCACTTGTTCCTATCACATTTCGACGTCAATAGTGATCAATTGCTAGACAGACGCACAGAAATATGAAAACTATTTTGTTAATTGGAGAAAGATGTTTTTTTGTCTTGCCACGAGCATGGGACAAAGAAAAAAATTCTGAGTCCCCATGTGGAATCGAACCTCAGACCATCGGATTCCGCGTTCACGGTGAGCGAGGTCTATTACGAAGTTCATAGGAGAGCGTTCTCAATAGGGTTCTTCAATCCCACGGTCCCGACTAAAATTGTCTCTCAATCCTGTAATCCCAAAGGTTTATACCGGCCAATCCCGATCCCGATCATACAATTTTGTCCAGGCCCATTTCCTAAACCGAAAAGAGCCTTTCCGGTGGGTGATGATTTTCTCAACCAGCATTGATCCGTTGAAGTCTATAGTCGCCATAAGGCGTGAGTTTATTTCTTTTCACCAAAATTTTAAAGTTTTGCACGAATAACGTAGGCTAGTCACGGTACTTCCTTTCATTAAACTTCGATCACGGGCAAACGTATAGGTACAGGCAGGTCAGTATCAAAGAAACGAATAAAAATTTCAACAAGTGCATAAAAAACAAAAGGTCACAGCAATCCCATAGTTCCATAACAACGGAGATAAAGAAAAATTAACTGAACACAATTCTGCTGTTGAAGCGAATACTTTTTCCAAAGCGGAAACCTCTTTCAAGGTAAAAATCAGCCTCTTGTTCCAAAGATGGAATGTCATCATCATCACTCGGGGAATCGTTCTTCAATATTCCATCTTCCTCTTCGTCTTGTTTCCCGCCGTTTTCTTGCTGCTCCTCGAAGTCAGAACGTTCGAGGCTGACCGGTTCGAATGGTTGAATTTCTCTCAAATAGAGGTACGACGGGAAGTTCCAGCTCTTGCCATCGTTGTTTCCTGTCTGACAGAGAGCTGAGGCACTGGTACAACTAATGTTTACGCCCAGTCCCTTATCTTCTGTATGCTCTGTGGTGCCATCGGAACTGGTGGTAACGGTTGATATCAAGAATTTGAATTTGTTAAATAGAACGCCGCTCAATGGGTTGTCCTCATTAAGCCCTCTTAAGCTACATTTCCAAAGTTCCTTGGGTAGTCTAACCCTGTGAAAAGTTTATCTTTGTGATGCACAACCGAGTAAATATTCTCCACATCTAGTGATGTAACTCAACAGGTTAAGAGGATCGTATCGGTATAATGCTGAGACTTGCTGGAGGTTTTTCAACGTCGTTAAGAATTCAACTGACGCAGCAGTCTTTGACCACGTTACCCTGTGGGCCATTGAGGATTTTGATAACTCGGCAACTTCGCTTCTGATATAATTTTCATTCCCGCGCAATAAATGAAGAGTGTCACTGAGAAGCCCGACCGCCTCTTAAATGCTGAGAAGCCTGTATACCTGGTGCTTTTCATGACTGAGAGGATCAATTTCTTCATAAATTCTCGTCAACGGACATCCCGGTTCTCGGTTCGTTTAAGTGATTATTTCCCGAATCCCGCGCCTCAAAATCGCCGATTCCCGTGTTCCGTTCATAATGGCAATCCCGCATCTCGCCCCCTTCTTACTTTAAATTCCCGGATCCCGGCCTTTAAATAAGCTTAATCCTGGATCCCGAAAAGCCTATTGGAGACCCTCATAGGACACGCGTCCGGCATGCTGCAAGGATCAGCAATGTCGATAGCGTAATGACTGTTGATGGAAATAAGAGAAATGATAAGTTTTGAGCTCTGTAAAGAAATAGAGAAAGATGTTTTATTCGTCTTGTCACGAACGTGGGACAAAGGAAAAAAATTCCGAGTCCCCATGTGAAATCGAACCTCAGACCTTCGAATTCCGCGCTCCGATGCTCCACCACTGAACTGTGAGACTCCACGGTGAGCAAGGTTCATTACGAAGTTCATATAACACGCGTCCTGCATACTGCTATATTGTTAATCACTACAAGTTTTTCGTCTGGTGTAAGTTATCGGTCGGCAGGTTTTACTTTTCGATTCGTTAGCGCACGAGATAGATGGTATCAAATACGTTGGGATGCAATGCTGAATATCCCCAACTGCGTATCTCATGAGTTAAGTTCCTGAGTAATGGACTCTATAATATGAATATATGAATATCGTATATTTGAACAGCGGATTAATAAATAAAGATAAGAGTGATCGTTGCAGTTGTTAACGCTACCTTGACGGTATCAAAAAATAAAGTCTAAAAAATACAGGCTTGTACGTAGTAGTGTTTATATGTGTGCTGATCACTCTCATCTCTATTTGTGCGCATGTATGTGGATGAAGCAACAAGCAAGCGGGCCAATGTCTACTCAAAGTCTCCGTCAACTACTTCGTTTGGTCTTGCCAAGCAACGCTTTTTTCCTTCCAACGTTGCGTGAGGACACCAAGCAAAGGCAACAAGGGGGACGATGGGATACTCAGGGTTATGTGAAGAGCATGATTCCGGACATAATAGATGAGTAACCAGCAGTAAGCTTCATATTTGGTTTACGTTTTACCAAACACGTAAAACGTTTTCGCCACTTTATTTCACAGCTTTGATTCTCAGTATTATTTTAGGTGTATTTTAAACTAGTTCTAATTCTAGTTTCTAGCCTTTTCCTGCAAAGAAAAGAGAGATGGCCTGGAAATAAGAAGAAAAATTCAGAGAAAACACTACTACAACATGTGTCATTTGGATGTACAGATAAATGGATCAGAGTCAATCAGAACTTTTGACAAAATTTAACTCCTCACAAGGGCAGGTTTGGACACCTTTGCAAAATTGTTAAACTATCAAAACATCAAAATATCAAAATTGAACGATATCAAGTTTGCACAGCACGAAACAGAACTTCTACCTGAAAATTATTGCTCTAAAAGCTCTTCGATTTTGGAACAAAAAAAATACACTTTTTTCACCCCTTTGGCGAGAAGACTAGACGACCATTTTCCACCAGGGTCTACGGGTTCCTTTTTGCCAGCACAGCCGGCCCTCCACTCCATTGGCTTGTCCTTCTTTCTCTACATTTTTTCGGTTTTTACTTTTTCATTGAAGTAAATATTTATTTGATTTCCTATTCTAGCAGACTAACGCTATGTATTTTTTTTTTACGCGGCTTGCATGACGCCAGTCTCTAAAAGCGTCACGTCACGCAAGACCATAAATTCGCAACAAATGGTATACAAAGAGCACTTCAATTTCTAGAACTTGGAAAACCACTTCTATGCTTTAGTTCCTTTATCCTACAATGAATCAATTATTATTTCTGTTGATTAGCTTGTGGATTTATCTTTTAAAGGCAGCTTTACATCGGCGTAAAAGGGATTTGTGCTGAAAATATTGTGCAGCTCTGCAAACGTTGGTCTCTTCTCCGGCTTTAGATCCCAGCATTGGAGCATCAGTGAATAGGTCTGTTCTGGGCATGCGTCAGGTCTTTCAAGCCGATTGTTGTCTTCCTCCAACATACGTATTACCTGAAGCGGAAAGAAAATTTCACTCAAAAAAGATTTAGCAGCAATTCCATGGAATGCCAAATAAAAATTTTCAGCTTTGTCATGAGCTGATCAGGGAGACATCGGCAACTGAGTCAACCCATTTCGCCACTGCGAAAAAGACCCCTAAGCGTAACCGTCTGTAAAGAATAACCCATCTGGAACATGTATAATGCAGGATGGCAAATAACCAGCTTGACAAATGTAATCGTGTCTCTGTAACTTCAACCCTCCCAAAAAATTAAGAGTGGTCTGTTCTTCGGATTTGTGATCATAAAGTTTATGTTCTTGAGAATGAATAAGATCCGCCATATTGTTTCATTTTTTGACCCGAGGCACTAAAAACCAGTCGGGCAAAACAGGCCTGAAAAAACTCTATTGTTTCAAAAAGGAAGAAAACCACTACAACAGGCAGAAACTTCGGTTCAAAAAAGGAAATACACCTGCTAAAAAGAATCTCAGAAAAAACAACTTTTAGTTTCTTGATGAATCAACCCTTACATTTTGAAGACCCCCAACCGATGAAATAGCATCTTTAAAAACTTTCACTCACCTCACCCCCTGACATCTCACCATATGGTAACTGACCAAACGAGTACATCTCCCACAGTGTCACACCATAGCTCCAGACGTCACTCTGATGCGAGAACGTTCCGAAGTTGATAGATTCCGGTGCATACCTAAGAAAAGTTTGTCAGTTATGGGTTCAATTTAACACTTCAACTCACAAGATCTGATTGTTAATTCTCCCCTCTATTTGTTATACATTTCCTCGTAAATTTGTCACCAGAATTTTGTGTTACATCATGATGATAACTTCTACCTGGTAAGTTTGTGTATTCTCATTACCTGTTAGCTGGATGACGTACGAATATCGTAGGGAGAAGTTACTTGTTAATCACCTCTAGGAGTTAAAGCGTTAAGCTTGTGAGTTGAGAAAGACAAACGAGATCTTTTTTTCGTGTGATTCGAATTCCACGAGCTTCCCTTCCGACGCTTAGTCGCCGATTAATCGGCGATTGCGTACAGAAGTAATTCGTGTCGCAAACGCCCCTTAGCTACACTAAAACAGACACACTTACACAAACTCTTATCTCAGAGTAAACGAAGGCAAACCCACCACTTAACTGGCCAGCGGCCACCTTGTGAAGCTTTGTAGTAGTCGCTTCCCGAGCCAGTAGCACGAGACAGACCGAAATCACTAATTTTTACCTAAGGAGAATACCAAGGAGAAAAAAAGACACATTAAAAAGTTCAGAAAGAGACTTCAGGTGAGGTGCACATGGATACGGACGCTTTTACAACAATCAGCTACTCAATCCATGTTTACTTCCTCACAAGAAGAGTTCTGATAAAAAGTGCTTCTAAAGTATTTGCTGAAGTAATGGGTAGGTTTTTTGCCTACAAATTCAAAGCAAGATCCGACACAAGATCCATCAAAGTCGTTATCGCTCCATTCTCCGTCTTTCTTATAATTTGAATGATATTATAGCCTCTGCGTTTCTAGAGTCTTTTGTAATTTGTCACACTCCAAAAATAACATATACTGACCACAGAGAAAGCAAACAGCAAGAAACTTGCACATGATACCAGGAAAATCCTCCATCAGATCACGGGTACATAGCTAAGCTTGAGGAGAGCTTAGGCTTCAACACCACAATATAACACGACAATATACAGTCCTTTCCTTACCTGTTGTTTGGTAGACATGAGGATGTTCCTTGTTGCCAGGTCCCTATGAACGAAGCGCTTCTTTTCCAGGTACATCATACCCCACGCTATCTGAGCTGCCCACAATTTAAGGTCCCTTTGGGAAATTTCTGATTGGTAGTCGATTAGGAAGTCCAGTAAAGCTCCCATCTTCACTAACTCTTGGACCTGTGAAACAGCGAAAGATGCGATTTCACGCGGATTTACTTTACTTTTCCTTAAAAACTTCCACTATTCATTCATGGCGTAGCAGTGGTAACGTGAGCGGGCGTCGAAGAAAAACACAAGTCCCATATAACCTTGGTCCCAGGGCCTCGTTCCCATAGAGCGTGAAAGAGAGATAAAAGGGGTTACGAAGAGAAGAGTGACCCTGAGAACGAAACTGACTCAAAAACTCTGATTCACAATCAACTGCTCTAACAACTGAGCTGCAGATAATTCTTTGGTGAGTTTGGCAATATACTGGGTTTATATGCACGCTGCTAAGATCAGCAAAGTGTGCTGCGAGGAGATTCCGAGCGCGCTTGCTAAATAAAGAGATAGATCAAACATTTTGAGCGAGGATGGAGCAAAATTCACTACTGTAATCTAACAATAATAATGCTAATAATAGTTTTTTTTTAAAAATTCTATAAGTGGCTCTTCTCTGTTTAATAATAAGAAGTAAAAGCGTAATACATTGAGAAAAAAAATCGAATATCATCTCTCTTCTATACTACTTCGTAAAACGCTTTGAAAGTTTTCCTGAAAAAATTAGCGTTAATTACTGACGCTAAGGATGTCATGCAATCTTCTTTCAACAGGACGAACATACTTCATGACGATTACAAAAGAGACAGGACGACACTCACCAAGATCAGAGGAGGTCCGAGACAAACTCCGATCAGTCTTACAATGCATGGGTGATCCAGTCCTGACATAATTCGTGCCTCGCGTAAAAACTCCTGCAAGCAAATGCATTTGCCTCAAGATTTACCTCAGATTGCAAATGCTAGTTGGCCTATTATACAATGACGACAGAAATTATATCATTATCATTACTACAATCATCGTGTATAAAGCCACATCAGACTACAGGTAGTCCCTCCTTTTCGGCAAAGTCCGTCGCGCGAGTAAAAAAAATCAGCCCCAAAAAAGAGGCATTAGCGTGCTCCACGAAACTCAACGGAACTCTGCGTGGCATCCCAACATTTTTTTGCTTTAATTTTTTGGACTCACGCGACGGCCTTTTCCAAAAAGGACAGCTTCTTGTAGTTTAAAGCTACTATACAAAGAAGATTTCAATTGATTGAAAAAACTTAACTCAAGAACTAATTTGAAAAAAAATACATATAGAAACAGAAAGCTTCAAAACACATCTTACCTGCTCTCCGTATGCAATTTTTTCTGGATGTAACGTTTTCAATGCCACTGGAACCTGTAAAGTGAATTGAGGCCCATTTGTGACCAGAGTAAAATTTGCCTTGCATTAAAAAGTCGCAAATTAAAAAGAAAGTGTCTTTGATAAACAATACTAAATGTTAGTTAGAAATTAACTTTCTCCCTGTTTTGACCTTTCAAACCCTAGGAGTGACTTACATCTAATTTCTCCTCACGGCAAGGGAAATGTATGGCAGCTAGTAGGGAGAATTAACAATCAGATCGTGGGAGTTAAATGGTTAAGGGAGTTAACCCTTTCACTCCCACAAGTGACCAAGACAGAATTTCTCCTTACAATATCAATACAATATCAAGCAGGCAGGTGATGAGAATAGAGAAGAATATCAATCATGGGATTATTAGTTGATCCAATACCAAATTCTCTGAACTAACATCATAAGAATTGTATGGCAGATAGTAAGGAGAATTACTAATCAGATCTTGGGAGTGAAAGGGTTAACTGTGTGAATTCATGGGATAAATAGTTTGGAGCAAGAAACCTGAAACAAATGGGTTCTTATGTAACCGTCATGAGACCAAATTTGAAAGGGACATGGGACAGAAAGGCAGGGACCATTGATGGCTTTTTAGGTAGGGACAACATAAAGAGGAAATGGAGGAAATGGAGGAAATGGAGGAATTGGAGGAATGGAGGAATGGAGGAATGGAGGAATGGAGAAATGGAGGTAGGGAAAAGGGGTACAGCAGAGGGGTTGAAGCAGGGAAAATTCAGGACCACTGCTATTCATGACAGCTAGTGTAGAGCCATTTTAGATATTGACTCAAACAAAGTACAAGGTCATGTCACATACTCCTTCTCACCTTGTTTCCTTTGGGGTCTGTCCATATGCCTTTCAAAACAGAACCAAACTCTCCCTGGCCAAGCTCAGCTCCAAGTTCCAAGGATTGTTTCATGATCAATGTGGACTGCATAGGACCTTGGTAACAAAACAAGAGAAATGATGATTGAGTGAATGCATGGTATAAAACAAGGAGATGCAGTGGTCAAGAGTTACGTGTGTGTGATGGATGTAGAAATCTGGCTTTATCTTCCAGCTAAAGGCCTTGAACTATGTTTTTGCGATACCCATTTCTCTGACAATGCTCATCTCCCCCCTTGAGTTTAAAACCATGCCATCCAGCTAACTCTGAGGTAACCTTGATGATAAAAAGTAGGATCAATATCAGTATCTGGGCAACTGCCTACCTACCCCTCCCCTAACCCAACACTAACCCTAAATTGATATCAATTGACTGTTGTTGAGTTAGGGGAGGGGTAGGTGAGCAGTTGCCCAGATACTGATAATGATCCAAAAAGTGCATCTAATTGCTCCATACAAAGGAAACTAGGATTACCTCAAAACTACTTGGACCAAAAAACCTCTTAGCAAAGTAATCATTTTTTTTTTTGGTGGAAAGCTGATGGTGCTTTGTATCATTGATGTAATATGATTTCAAAAAGTTCAAAAAGCTTCCGAAAAGATTTCTATCACATTTGCCACCAACTTAACAACTCAAGGTAACATAATTCCCCTCCCCCCCCCCCACACAACTATAAAATATTACAATTCACTCTATAACAGTGCTTGCCTTGTATGCTTGAGCTTCAAGTCACAATCAAGTATAAAACTGAGTCACAAACCTTGCGAGGTTGCCACAGTATTTAATTTTGCAGAACTTTGTAGAACAGGAACACTTGGTTGGGCTGGACTTGTGGGATTGGGATTCTGTGGTAGAGGTGGGGGAGGCCGTCGTTGCCCTCTAGGAGGAGGTTTTGTTGGAAGAGGTAGAAGTTGTCTATCTTCTGGTTTACCTAAATTTTCTCCATTGCTGATGCCTGGAGGATTGGCATCACTTATGGATCTCTGTAACACTGGAGGTTGCCTCCTTTGAGGACTTTGGTCAGCATGAAGGGTTTCCTTATATCAACCAGAAATAAAACAAAGGAAATTGAAAATAATATGAACATCATGATTGTAGAGTCAAAAACTAATCCATAACACTTCTTAGAAGCTATCTTTGTCAGGATGGCATATGTCTTCTTAAATTTCCCCCTCTATGCCGGTCGTGATTACTTAAGGGTGGCTCTTCAACCCTCTAACTCCCATGAGTGACCAAAACAAAATTTCTCCTTACTATATCTGTACAAAATCAAGCAGACAAGTGATGAGAATAAAGAAGAATATCAATTGGGGGGTTACTAATTGATTTGACACCAAATTCTTCAAACTAACATAATGAGAATTGTTTGGCAGACAGTAAGGAGAATTACTAATGAGATCTTGGGAGTTAAAGGATTAAGCAGGACCACACTCAAGTCCATGGTCTGATTAGGAGGATATCAACTCTGCAGCAAATTTCCAGCCATTGATTTCCTAGGTGCTCTGTAGGGGCCCAAGTTTATAATTTGGGTCATTTGTCTTCAGGGACAAATTGCCTTCAAGGCTACCAGTAAGCAAGAGTATGTCCAAGTTTTTCACAAGAAGGCTTCAAGCACTAGGCATTTGAAAGCCCTCTTCTTCCCAAGCTTTTTGAGCTATTGAAACTGTAAATTGTACAACAAAAAAAACTTTGGGTTATGTTGAAAGACATTTTCCAATTGCTTAGTTGTTTAAGTTGTTACAGTTGTTCTCTTTTGCACCATAAAAGTTAAAAAAAATAAATAATCAAAAATACACTTACAGCTGAGCCAGCCCTTTGGAGTGGATTCCTTCCAGGTATGGATCTACCACTTGAAGTATTAAGCACAGGGGAGCTCACAGCAGGTGTTAAAAGTACTCGCTTCCTTACAGGTGGTATTGGAATCTTATGAATATCAATTGGTGGGTTGCCGTCTGGAGGCAGAGCCATCTTAAGAAGGACAGGAAGTCCATCTGCACATCTACTGTAGTGGTCAATAACATGTGGCAGGGTTTCAAAAAGTGGGCCATCATCAATGTAGAACCACCTATCAGACTTCATGAGCAGAGATTTCAGAGTTAGCTGCATGTTAGTTTAAAAAAGAGGGTATCTGCATAATTAATAACCCTATGACCCCTAACAGTGACTAGCATCCAAATTCTCCTCACAATATCACCCCAGAATCACACATTGAGATCATGAGAATAAAGGAAATGATCACCAGCTAGTGAAGCTTTCAATTGCTAAAGAAATTCTCCTTGTCAGCACCTTAGGGAATGTATAGAGAACAGTATGGAGAATATGGATACTGATGTTAGGGTGTCCAGGGTTCAAATTAAATTTCAAATTGGATGGCTAGCATATAAATTTGGACTACATCAGCTAGGTGAGCTACAATGAAGGCTATCCAATCAATTTCACTCAACCTATTGTGAATATCAGAAAACCATGAACACTAGAAAGGAAAAGTCAATCAGACATAAGAAGACTATACTGCAAATAGCAATTTTAGTAATAAGTTTGTAGGTTTAAGGGATGCCTGCATGTTCTCATCTTAACCCTTTAACTCCCAAGATCTCATTAATAATTCTCCTTACTATCTCTCATAAAGTTCTTGTGATGTTAGTTTGGAGAATTTGGCATTGGATCACCTAATAATCCCCAAATTGCTATTTTTTTCTTTTTTCTCATCACTTATCTGGTTGATATTGTATTGATATTGTAAGGAGAAATTCTGTCTTGGTCACTCATGGGAGTTAAAGGGTTAATTGTGATCAGTTAATACAAAATGAATTTTCTGTACAAATCAAACTGTTGGTGGTTTTCTGAACCTCATTACACTCATGAAACCTTTTTAATCCAAAAGACATTAGCCACCACCATTTTCTTTTCCTCTTAACCCGTTACCTCCTTGAAGTAATTAACATTCAACTTCTCCCTAAGATATCCATACATTATTCAGCAAACAGGTAATGAGATTACACAAACTTATCAGGAAGAAGTTTTCATCCTGATCTAACATCAATTTCTTGTAACTAATTTACAAGGAAGTGTGTAACAGCTAGAGGGGAGAATTAGCAATCAGATCCTGGGAGTTTAATGGTTAAATATGTTTATTTTTACGAGCTAATTGAATTGCAGAATACAAAGAATCCTGCAAATGTGCTAGTCTTTGAATCTGAACTTCTGGAATCAAGCTCTTCTGTGTGTGGGTCATTGTTATAATTATTATTATTGTTATCATTCATAATACCCAAGAATAAAACACTTGGCTTATTTGCAGAGATTTACTAACAATTCCCTTCTGTACATATTTGTATGGGTAGAATCAAACTGGAATTCCTTGAAGCAGAAAGGCCTCACAACTTAGAGTGATCATAGGGTTCCACTCTTATTGTACTCATTCCATTAGTTGTATCAACAGGGTGCTAAAATAAGATCCACATCAATAAACAGTTCAAATAGCAAGGTAGTAAAATAAGGAAACACTGGACATTTGCTCAACACAAAAGTTGAGTAACATACAAGTATTGGGTGGATATAATAACAGTATGGTCCCATTTAGAGGTACTACTGAGGTGCAAATTTGTAGGGAGGCTAAGAACTAAACTTATTTTTATTCATTGTCAAACATCAAAGCTATAAGAAGTAAGCAGGGTCAAAAGGTGCGTTCATAATGGGTTGCAACATGGGGTTTTACAGAGAGACCATTTGTAGAAATTGTAAACTGCTGTGTGATTTTGATGTAAAATGAAATTCTTTACAACTTGTAATGAAATCAATTTCATTCAACCTTCAAATGAAAATGAAGCAAAGAAATGATCTTTACACATAGACTACAATTTTAGCAATTGCAGAAGAAAAGCCAGAACAAATTAAGGCTTTGACAGGATTCAAACCTGTGCTTCCCAGATACTAGTTAGACAATTACTAAAATTTAATTCCACCAGATAGGATCATTTCTTTCTTGAAATACTGTGTAGGGTACTCACCCTGCTTCGTATCTGATAATGGTAAATCAAACTGTTGACAGCAACTGAGAGTACATAATATCCATGGTCACGAGTGCTCAACCGCACAAGAAACAACCCATCAACTAATCCAAATTTTTTAAATAGTGCAATGGCTTCCTAGCAATAACAGAAATTCAGTATGTAAGTATATTGTCTGCTCAATACAAAAAAATCTGCAATATCTTGCCCAATATCATCCAATAATTGCTCATGCTCTTAGGCTTTATAATGAAATACGTTAAAAAAAATTAAGTTATCATGGGGCGAGAAACAAGAACACAAACAGAAAACACTTACCTGTCTACCTAAATTTTCATGTAACCACATCCTCGGCAAAGTCTTTGGAGGCTGCACAGGATAATTATCAATTATTTCTGCAATATGCAAATGATCATATTTAATTGCAAGGTCTCTGGGTGTGTCTCCTTCTGTTGATCGAGGGTGAAGTGGAGCTCCAAGCTCCAGTAGAACTTTCAAGCAATCATCATAACCTTTTACGGCTGCTATGTGAAGGGCCACAAAGCCAGTTACAGGAGAGCGATCCTGAACATCGGCTTTACCTTCTGTTATGAGTGTGGAGCAAATTGTTGCAAATCCTCCATAGCAAGCCACCTGAGAGAAATGAAAAAATGAATCACCATGAATCCAAGTTCAACTTTAACCAAATTTATATGCAGGGGGCAAATAAGTCTACTAAGCATTCAATTTAACTATTGTTTAATAAGCATGTGAAGAAGGATATTCTTTAGGAACAGAAAGGTGACTTTTACAAGAATGTACAAACATACAAGGAAAAATGGGAAAAATAAATGGGAAGATACCATGAGACAAAAAACTTAACAAACACTGAAGCTATATACAAGACATGAAACATTCCAAGGAAAAGTTTACCTCCATGCAAAATAAGACACACAATGTAAAAAGGGTGTGAAACATGATAATAAATGGGAAGATACCATGAGACAAAAAACTTAACAAACACTGAAGCTATATACAAGACATGAAACATTCCAAGGAAAAGTTTACCTCCATGCAAAATAAGACACACAATGCAAAAAGGGTGTGAAACATGATAGATAAAGGGCTGCATAATTTACATTAAGTGTGAAAATAATGGTGTAGAAATGATACATTGAAAAATGAAAAGAGTACATGTAAATTGACGAGTGTGGAAATATAAGGGCTATTTGAAAGAAATAAAGAAATTACATACTTGCCACAACATCACCGTAAAATGATATAAATTGGTACATGACCTACCATATCCCAAATGCCACATGTGCAAATGTTTTTAGACTATAGACACCATTAAGTAATTAAAACTTCACAGCCTGTTAATCCTCTAAATTCTCAGAAGGGATTAACATGTAACTTCCCCTATCAAATCCATGCTTCATGTAGCAAACAGGTTTGAGAATAATCAAACTTCCCAGGTAGAAGTGGTTATTTTGATCTAGCACCAGATTCTCATAACTAATTTACAAGGAAATGTGTCATAGCTAGGGGGGAGAATTACCGTAATTTCCGTCCATTTACCCGCATCGGTCAATTTTTACAATACTGAGAAACAAATTCCAACAGATTACCCACACTAGCAGATAACCCGCACTAGCAGATAACCCGCACCCAAAAACAAAAGAAAATCCTTGTTTTACACAAAGTTCCTTCATAGTTTTTGTGGACATGAAATCTTTTGTGTGCAATTGATAAATTTTCACACTTTTTGTCTTTGCTGTTTCATTGAAAATGATACCACTTGTAAAAATCTGTTCTAAAAAAAATTGATATCTCAAGATCTACTGAGTCGAAGAAATCACTTGAAACAGGAAAATACTCTTTAACTCAAGACAGTGCTAGCTAAGAAAATTTCACTGATGCGTCAAATATTCTGTTGCGCTATTAATTATGCGGCACCACGAAATGAACACGTCAGCATTTTCTGTGTGAATTGCTCTGAAGCCAGCTTTTTCACAATTAAATTCTTGTATTTCCAAGTTCACTACCTGTGTATGTGAGAATTTATTTTAAACCTAAGAGAGAAACAAGCTGTGAAATTGACAAGGTAAGAAAATAAGAGTACAAACAAGATAAAAGCTCTCTTATCGGGTTTCGTACGTTTTTGATTTGCATGGGCTTTTATCACATGCATTAAAGTCTCCTATTATAATGAGCAATCTACACAAAATAAATTAGTTATTGCACAGGTTTTTTAAGACTATCTTGAGTGGACCTTATCATCTCTATTTTTTTCTTGCTTATAGGTTTTAAACTACACCAGAAGCTTTAAAAATTATCATATTACTTGCACCTTCTTAAAACCCACACCAACAACTGTTTGTGGGAAAATTAACAAGGGTAATCGGTAGGAAATTACGGTAACAATCAGATCTTGGTCTCCACATTTCTCTGCAAATCTAACAACCAAACTCTTTTTCTCCTTGCCATGACATGCTGATGGCAAACATAATTTTCATAGAAAATGTTTAGAGGAAAGTTATGCATTCCTTCTGCAAGTATCAAATCACTTTATGTACACAAATTGGATTGGAAGATCAGGAATAAAAATGAAAGCATCTCTACATAAAACTGTTTGATCATTTGTCTCTATAAATAAATGTGGTGGAAGGAAGAGGGAAGGGTATGAAGCTCTCATCTCCTAAGCTATTTTAAGTCGTTTTCTGGTTGAGTGGAATTTCATGGTATGAGCGATGATCACATCAGACAAAATAATTGACCTGTTATGACCTTAAAACATCACAGATTCATTCATTCAAATAACAGATAAGCCTTAATAACCTACACTGGAATTTAATCACGTTTAGATCTTTGATCTAACTAAGTTGTATTAAGGAATTAACCAAAATGCCAGATTTAACCCTCAGATCAAGCAAAAGACGTGTACTTTGAACAAACTTGGCGAATATCGTTTAAATAAATATATCGTTCTAATAAAAATTTTGTTTAAATATCGTGAAATTACGCTCATATCAGTTCGGAGAATCTTAAGCAGGAAGTATAATTAGAAATCGAAATTCGAAGCCCGGTTATCTAAAGGCAAATATTCAAAGCAGAATATCTTTGTGAAGATGAAATACTGAACCTGTAGCGGCGTGTTTCCACCATCGTCTTTGCTCTTTGTGTCAGCACCATGTCTTAACAAGATTGAGACAATATCTTCATCTCCACGAAGCGCAGCTTCGTGAAGTGGCGTTACGCCATTTTCGTTCCTTGTAGTAATGTCAGATTGATTCTGTCCAGTAAGCAAACCCAATACGAGTTTGAAATTACCCTCTGCACAAGCAAGATGAAGTGGAGTTGTCACTCCATGTTTTCTACATGAAGCAGGGGGCGGATTCCCCTGACAAAACTGAGTAAGTCTAATCGGTAGACCGTCCGCCTGTTCTCTGTAGTATTCGATCAGCGAATCCAAACCCTCAAAACTCGGTCCATCGTCTATGGAATAATAAATCCCTCCGCGAGACTGTATTTGAAAATGAAGCGCCTGATTTCCATGCCATAGGGACAAAACAAAGTTGTCTTCAGATCCACCAGCTTTATTTCTGACAAGGAACAGTCCCTCTTGTCTGCCATTCTGAAGCAAGATTTCAATCGCTTGATCCCGTGTGATTCGACCGTGATACCACGACGCGTCGTCAAGAGAAGCGAACATTTTCCCCACCGTTCCAACCATCTATGATGGAAGACATTCCGTGAGAGAGAATTTCCGGAGTTGAGGTTGAGTATATAGATGATTCATGTAGCACGCATATTTGCAAACAGGATCAAAGTTAGCACTTGACATATGATCCGCATAGAAACGAGGTTTGGTTAAGTGCATTCTTCCGTCCTAAGGGGACTCTAATGAGTTACAAACAAATTTTTGAGAATTCCCTGCTTTTAATGCGTTCATTAGTTTGGGTTAAAATTTCATAAACGTTTCTTCAATGGAGAACACTAATATTTTTCCAAAAAATGTTCCCATCGAAAAACCAAAGGTCATCAAATTTCAATCTCGATCTGCCGGATAAATTTTTTGATATATTTGCCAGTGTTAAAAATTTTCTCTGATATTTCTCTCAAGAGCACAGAGATAGCTACATTTTAACTTAGTTATTTTCATCTTAAGTATTAATTTTTCCAATCTGTTAGTGCTCGAGTCTCTCCCCGAGAAGAGCCAAATAAATGAGCGAAACGACAGTTGAGCCAAATAACTTGCGAGCTTACCAATCAGCGGTCTTTGTCGAAAACAATGCGTAAAGAAAAACTCGTTACTATGGAAACCGTGCTCAATCAAAATGGTGGACAGTCCTGAATGAAAGGTCTTTGCTTGGAACGATCTAAATTTTAGACCTATAATTCAAAAGCCATGTCCTCTGCAGGCACGACAAAGAAAGTTCCGTCTGTTATTCGCACGGTGGTGCCAGGAAATCGAACACTCGATCAAATTTACGAAGACGAAGCTCGCGAAATTGTCGACGAAGCGATCGAAAATGCTCGACGTCGTATGGCTGACTATGCTGGCGAGGATGGAAGGGAAGGAGAAGCTCCTGCTCAGCAGGATCAGCCAATAATAGATCCTGAGACAGGTTATGAGATACCGAACATCAAATGGATGACGGCAGATAACTTCACAGTTGCAGGGGGATTAGAAAAAATTGAGGAATTCATCAAGGTAATATCGCAAAGAAAGTAGCGGTTATTCATCGCACAATCGTTTCTCTCACAGTGCGGATCGCAACGTTTCGAACGCATACTGATTGTGTTCTATAGAAGATTTTCGCATGAAGAACACGAGCAGTATGCGGTCGAAACGTTGCGATCCACATCGATCGCAAGTAACGTCGACTACGACGCGATACAAACAATTAAACTTGTTCCAAGTATATGTAATCTATATGAAGATCTTAAGGTGTATCAGCTTCGAAAAAGAGCCTTAAGGAAAACCTTGCTGTTATGTGTTTCCGAAGCATCACATTTCTTTTGCAAATATCGTTGGGTAAGTCTGGCAGAAAAAAATTGCTGGCATAATTAATTTATAAAAATTACTTAATGAAAATCAGCCGGCAATCAATAAGTCACAGGATGTTAGTTTATGTTTTATCTAGGCCTTGAAATATCACATTAAAAGATGTAATTTCGCTTTTTTGTTGGCTAAAATCAAGGATAATTGAGAAAAACCAGTCATGGAAAAGGTCACAAAATATTCCTACACCAGAATTTTGTCCTCACTTTTCAGTTGCAATGGAATAAATGTTATTGTTCAATACCAGTTCACACTGATCAAATTAATTGTTTTGAATATGGATGACAGCCAGACAATAGGAAGTTTTAATATTTATTTTATTGGTAACAAATTGCTTTACTATGTCATAAAGACAATAACAAGGACTATGAACACTCTGGTAAATGTAAGAACTCTCTTGCAGACATGGGAACGTGATGGTAGCTGGTTATACTGTATTGACTTTTTAAGAGAGGAAGAGCACCCTTACAGCTGGCGATATAGGTATGCCGTCAAGTGGAGTATACCAACCAGGAGAAGACCAATTCCTAGGGCAACTGCTTCTGTTTATATAACCATTGAAGTTAGCAAATTTAAGCCAAAGGTAAAACAATTGCAAATAATATCTAAAGAGCATTTTTAGAAAGGGTTGGGTAAACTCAAAATGAAAGTAGACAAAAGGAACCAATCAGAAACAAATCAGTTGAATGTATCTTTGCCCTCACAAAGATCTTGTGTTTCGTTGTTTAATAAGACACTTATCTCCTACAGTGTATCTCTTCACTACCAGGTACAAATGGGTCCTAGCAAACTTTCTGAAAACCTGACAAAATTGCAAGCAGGGGGGTTGGGGGGAATGTGGTGTTTACACGCAGTTGAATGACAGGAAGAGTAGAAATTTGTGGTTCCCTCATGCAAGATAAATTCTGGTAGCAATGTCAACCAACTACCAGATTTGAATTTACCTGAAGCTGCAAATTATTACTAAATTTTACCCTTTTACCCCCTAGGAGTGACCAGCATTTAGTTTCTCCTAACAATATCTCCCCTGAATCAAACATTAAGGTCACAAGAGTAAAGGAGATGATCACCTACTAAAGAAGCTCTTTATTGTTGAACAAATTTTCCTTTTCAGCACCTTAGGAAATGTATAGAGAACAGTATGGATAATTTAAATGCTGATTTTATGTGTCAATGGTTAGACAAGCTGTTCTGTTCTTTTAATGTAGTGACATCTCTCCAAGAGAAAATTCATTCATCCAGAAAAACTAAATCGTTTGTTTATCTTTCCTTTTTAGACATTCCCAGTGGAAGTGTATTATATTTTTGAGACACATCATCTTGTCCATAGGTATGTTATCATCACTGGTGATCCAAGCTCCAACTATGAGATGATCATCTTGTGAAATAAGAGTTATGGTGAAATTATAAGAGTTTGTATAGGAACATTAACAACTGCTTTTAGGAATAAAAAATACAGTCAAATACTCACAAAAAATACCTCACCTGGCTTCCACAAGGCATGGCTTGTTATCTGACCACTTACTATGTTGTAAAGAACCCATTTCAATGGGTTATCCATTTCTAGATTTAGTACAGGCATCTCTTACATACATAGTAAACCTAGAAATGGATAAATCACCAAAATGGGTTCTTTTCAACATAGTAAGCAGTCAGATAACATGGGATGCAGTGTGGAAGTAAGGTGAGGTACTTTTAGTGAGAATTTGACTCTTTTTTAATTCCCAAAAGTGGTCATAAATATTCCCATACAAACTCTTATAATTTCACTATGAGTTTTTTTTTGCAAGATGATCAACTCACAACTGGAGCTTGGGCTGCCTGTGGTTATCATCTGCTGTTAAAGCCTGTGCTCTTGGTAAAATTAGCCAACAGCCAAATAAGCCATCACTAAGTCTCTTATTGAAGGAAAAAAACATGATCTCAGTTTAACTCCATCTTATTATCTGGCAAGGTAGTCGAGAGGTAAATCCAAGCATTTTTACTGGTTCTTACCTGGTGGTTATTTTGCCATAGTTTTTGTACAGACCTTGCTGTTGTCAGCCAGTACTGCTAAGACCTGCCAGAGCAGTGCTTTCCTCATGAATTAATTTTTTTCTTCAAGATATATGACTGGTACTGCTCCCTTTATTTCTCATAGGCCTGGTAGAACAAGGTTTCGAGAGAAGTGGTTGAAAGATATTATCGAAAGCAAGATTCAACTGATGGGTGCAGTAGAATTCTGATCCTTTATGGGGTTATTTCCCAGGCAGTTAGAAATGTGAAAATGACACCTTTCAGAAATAATGAATTGCTTGAGAAGAAGAGGCCTAAATTTGAAGCTGGCATAAAAAATCCTTATTGGCAGGCTTTACTCTTCTTACGAAACGGAGAAATCAATAGTTTTGTCGAACACATTTCAGGCATTATTAATTATTTGTTTTTAGTGTAATAACAGTATTGACCCTTGATGTTATTTAAATATAGCAGTTAATACTTTAAGTACACTCAGTCATGTCAAAACCAATCTGTAAATACTGTTTAATACAAAATTTTTCTCAATATGAACTTGTAATCACACGGTGAATCTTCTTTTGCGCTAAAATCGCGATAATCCCCTAAACATCAATAATGATTTGTAATGCAGATTTTGCAAATTGCTTCCATGAGGTTGTTTATTTTTCATAGGAATTCACAACTGAATTAATTTCTGCTGGGGTATGGCACATATTCAACAAACAATTAGTAAAAAGAGTTAGTAGACTTTCACTTGTGTATATAGGGCTATAAAGAAACAAACGAACAAACAGACGTAAACGCTGAAATCGATTGTATCAGTGTTTATCACCTGTATAAAATTCCAGGTCATTACTGTACAGATGTATTGAGATTTAATTGTAAGTCTGTTGTAAATTTGAAAGGAACTTATGAAGAAAAAAACACCTTTTGTACAATTTTGTGAGAATTTATTAGGCCCTGTCTACTGGTAGGCGTTTACATCCGTAAACGTTGGTTTTTTTCGTGTGTGTGATCAGACATCCGTCCACACTTAAAAGACGTTAACGATCTCTTTAAACTGATATTTTCAAAAACGCCCCCCACCAAAGTGCATATTTTTGTTATTACACAACAATGTGCGTTTATCTTGTATTCTCGTGTGAACGACGCAACTTGTGAACGCTTACGTTTAAGGTCGTAACTCCTAAAACTGACCGGCTTGAAATTTCTATTATCCATATCACCTGTGGGTTGGTATTAGTATTTATTTTTTTCTCAGTTCGTGAGCGGGCGGTATTCTACAAATCTTGCCATCTGATTGGTTCCGAGAGCGGGCAGTATTCTCCCCATCCGGCCCGATATTTTCAAAACGACTTAATATCACGCAAATAAATATGTTTTGATAAAACCTCTCTCATTAATTGCCCTTTGTTTTCTACCATTATCTCATAAATTGTTCCATTTAACGAATCTTGCCGTGATTGCAGCCCTTTATCATTCAAATTCTTTTCGTAACCATTTTTTTAAACTTTTAGGCTGAAAATGTTTATTATCCATATCCGTCCGTATTGGGTTGGTATTCTATCTTGTATCTACTAAAACAGTAATGGCGTTAAATATGCGATCTGATTGGCTACTCAACATACAAATATTCTCTGTTATTCACCTCTGAGCAACTCGCGTGGGATTTGTGCCCGAAGATATGTTAATCATCGAAGGAATAACTGAAATTAATTAAAATCATTTTTTTGTATTATATTATCTTACTGTTTTAGAATATACTAGTTAAAAAGAACTATTTAACTCTGAGGGAAAGATTACGAAATGCTGATTGGCTGTGACAATGCATTTTCATTCATTTTTGGTAATTTTATTTGTTGAAATACATAAAACGCAAACTACAGACTAAGAGCTAGGAAAATCAGGAAAATTGGAAATGGCACGACTGAAGCAAAATATCTCTGGCTCAGCCGTGTACGCATGCTTAGACGAAATTTAACGGAAACTCTGGTTCCCATGCGGCCTTGTGTTTATTTTGCGACTTTAAAATCGTTGAAATGTGGGGGGGGGGCGTCGATTGAGTATGCACAGAAAACTTTGTATGCGTTATATATGCGTTAAAAACGTATATACCGTGTAATAAAAGGAATTTTGTGTTTCCTGCCGGGGAATCACTGGAGGATCTGTTTTTTTTTAATAAGATAAGTTGGTGCTATTAACTGAGTTGATAATTAACAATTGGTTCATATGTCAGCGTTCGTTCATCGAGATATGAAGCACGCGGGAAGTTTGGAGAGCACGAAAGATGCGTAAGTGTTGCTCGAGGCGTAGCCGGGAGCATCTCTAGCTTCTTGAATAAAAAAATATAAAATTGATCTAATTGGGAATAGATATAATTGGCCAGGTGAGGTGTTCCGGTGCATTGATACTAATCAAAAGATTACTCTATAATCAGCTTTGTTACCTAAGTCATGTGTGTTAGCGAGTCAGGAACAGCGAAGCAAAATAGTAGTCTATTTAGGCTCAGAATTAGAGTCATTTCATTGTGGGAAAGGCTGTAAACACATCGTTATTCATACTCCCCACGATAGCAGTCAAGACATGACATGGTTTCCCATTATAACCATGTACACCTATTTGGAACGGAAATGACTTTTTCAGAACCCTTTTATTCTTGTCATTATGATGTATTAATATTTGATCAGGGTTTAAAACTGTTTGTGAAACTATATGACAGAGGTAAGTCTCATCTCGAGACAAGAAATAACTCTTCCCAAGTTTGACGGGCAGCATATGGTGGGCAATGACGTGCTCCATCTTCCTCGCCCCTCTTTAATTAAGAAGCTGAAAAGTTTATATATGACTCACGTGAACTTCGCTCCTCTTTATGGTAGCACACAGTCTTCGCCCAACACCAAGCGCACGCGCGTAATATAATCAAGAACATTTCTGAAGCTACGATTGCGTTGGTCAGCGCAATCTTCTGACGGGGACTCTTACCAGTTTAGTTCTGCTTCTATCGAGTTTCAATCGAGCAAATAGCGAGCTTATTTAGTTTATTTACCTGTAACATTGTGACTTCTTAGACCGATAAAATGTGGTTTTGAACGGTCATTTAATTTTTTCCTATCTATAAGGGTAGACATGCAGATCATAAATTCCGTGAAGTTCAAGTCACGAATCGAAGGTACGCTCTGAATGATTTCTCTGATTTATCTTTGAGTCTTCCGTGGTAAATTTCGTGGGTGGACCGTTGTCAAAACAAAGTCAGTAGTATGAAACGATGTGGTTTGACAGCTACCCTCAAGTATTCTTTGGTCCATACCGAAGTACGTTTTCCTATTTAAAACTCAGAATTCGACCAAACTTTTAGCCTTGCTTTCTGGATGGGGGCGAAACATAATGATGTTCCCAGATGTTCCTGTGACGACGTGCAAACGCATTTAGCTCAGAAACCGCTGAAGTTCTTTCACCTCCTCGTTTGACGACTTTTTCATAGGTTCCGTCGTCGTTCTTTGCCTTTGCTCGCTAAAGGCAACTGCGGAGATCATTAGGACACCTTCGCCGACATCGTAATTGTCACAGGTTTTGAGAACGATACACTGGCTGATGGGCGCATTTCCGCTTGGTACACGGTGTTTGTTTGAAAAGGTTAGTTAAATGATGTTTCTATCGACTTAAAAAATTCCTTCTAAGGAGGGAGAATGTATTTGTCGCATTTTTGCATAATTATTTATTTTCCACACGTAAGTAATATCGTAGCAGTTTGTGAGGTACAATTTTCAATGTTAACTTATATCTTAAAGGCATACGCTTAATTTAGCCATTGGGGATGATGAAGGCCGAAAAGGGACTGCAGATTTAGAATTAGCGCTATTAGCTCACACCAGTTTGTTGGAGAGATCTTACTTGATGCTTATAATGTACATAACCTTTGGGATACGAGCGAGTGGAAGGAACAATTTAGGGTGCCGCGACTGACCTAATATGAAAGCGTCAGTCCTTCTTTGCTTGAGACTCTATAATTGTTTTACAAGAAGAACAGGCACTTATTTTATCATATTTACTATGTTAAGACTAGTTCGAGTGAAGAGATTATGTTTAAATATTCAAGATTGGCAGTGTTCACTAGTCCAGCGAATTCAATGGTAATCGACTTTTTCAAATTTACATATCTTACTAGGTTCGGTTACTTCCTTCGGTACAAACTTATACTAATAGCAAAATATTTCACACATCGCTCTCCGATTATTTCAGCCGTTTTATTACTCAGAGGTGACCCCAAAACGATTAAGAAATGAACTGGTGTCGATCGTTACGCATTGATTTCTTTCTGACAAATTTCTACAAAGGAATCGACATTATATACCGCGGTGGACCGTGAAGTCACGAAACAATCAACGAGCAATCCAACCGCTGACCGCTTCAAGCACCAACTATAATTATAGCATAGTGAAAAGAAGCCTCTTTTTTCGCTTTAATTACAAATGATACAAACAAACTAAATTTAAAGATTTTTTCTTTTACGCTACCTTGTAACTTTGTGTTAATTCTTTAACCCCTATGAGTGACTAGCATGTAATTTCTCCTTACAAGATCACCCCTGAATCATGCAGTAAGGTCATGAGAATAAAGAAAATTATCAGCAGCTTCAGAAGTCGTTGATTGCTACACAAATTCTCCACGTCAGCACCTTGGGGGAATGTATGGAGAACGCTGTGGGTGTAAAGGGTTAAAAACTTGCAAACTCTATGCTTTTTTTTTTTGCATGACACGATATTTGTGGGACTAGCCCTTCCCATCTGAAAGCATTCCTGTCCAAGGGTGTAGGGTATAGGAAATCTACAGTCGAGAATCGTTAGAAAAAAAAGAACGTTATGAGGGGTTCAAAGAGGCACAAAGCTACATTTTGCTTCTCTTCGCTTCATTAAAATCTAATTCGACTCTCTCACTTGAGTTTTTCAGACCACAATGCCTTTAAAATTTTACTATTCACTGTTAATTCTGTGATTGCTTACATTTCTCTATATTTCTGTAGTATGCCTTGCTTGTCACAAGGAGTGCGTGAGTTATTCAAATTGGTCAGAATTATGTAGTGTGGGCTATGTAGAGGGAGGCGGGCAATGACCAGATCCTTAATCATTTTAGGTGGCTATGATGGGGGAAGGGGTTTATAAACAGGGTGCTCATCAAAACGTTTTTTATCGAGCGTTATAAATGCGAATATCATTTTTGAAAAACATTATGGTCTCTTATGACGCCCATTCTGCAAGTTGATTCCATTTAATGAGTACAATTGCTCCCCTTTCGCCGCTGGGCCAGTGAAACCTCAAGGAGAAGAGATTACGAAAAGTTGCGTAGAAAAAGAACGGCTGACGTTTCCTGAGCAGTACAATGAACAAAACTACCGTTCTTTGACCAATTTGCAAACTCTTCTACGAATTACGGTTAGATCATACCATGGTTAAATTGCTCCCAGTTAGATCGCTCCAAACAAAAGTTAGATCGCTCCAGTCGAAAGTTAAATCGCTCCATCAAATAAGTTACTTCGCTCCCGACATAGGTTACTTCGCTTCATGTAGAAAACCAAGGTAGAAGGTTGATAGAAGAAAAGAGTTTTGTTACACGAAGAAAGACTCGCCATTTTTAATCGAATCGAATCCAGTCTCGCCCGGGTCTGAGTTTGACAACGTTTTAAAACTCGTCGCAAGACCCATCATCACCTATAATCTTTAAAGATCAGTGGCAGGTAATACTTCACATTATAACATGGAACGAGGTAACTTATGTTGAGAGCGAAGTATCTTATTTGATGGAGCGATCTAACTTTGGTTAAAGCGATTTAACTAGGAGTGATCTAACCATGGTGCGATATAACCGGATACCCCTTCTACTTATCTGCAGGCCCGTGTATTTGCGTCGACAAGGTAACATGTGGAACAATCTGCCTACGGGCGTCCAAGTTAATCAACTTACGTTTTTTAAGCTTCCTGAAGGGCTAAACATCGGTATAGTTCTTTTTAAAAAGAACATGATAAGAAAAACACTCATTCGCTCAATCCTCTTCGTGCCATTTGGGCATAACATTGTAATTAGAGACTGCCACGTTTGGGGCCAAATTTCATCTCATGCATGTGCATAACTGCATGTTAGTATGGCCACAAACACGGCTAAAATTCGGCCGTAAAATTCAGCAGAGACGAGACTGAAGTTGTATTTTGAACACCTGCTTATGCTCAGCCTCCCGATTCGCAAACAAGTCTTCCCTGAAAGTCCAAAACCTTGTGAGGCAGAAAGTGGCCTCGGTAAGAATCCCGTATCGTATAGAA